TATCTTATACATTATTTTATCTAAAATATAAATTTTAAATAATAATTCACTCTTACGATATGACATTTAAACTAAAAATTAGATCTTTTTGAATTTTTGTATTTCCATACTCCAAGTTTAAGAATAATTCAAATGTAAAGAAATTTCAATATTTTATAGTCAAACCTAATTAATTTGATTGATTTATTTAAATTATTTATTTTTTTTTTTTAAATGATACCTTATTGCTAGATACTCTAAAGTATTATTTTTATATTGTATACTTATTAATTGATGTTAATATGAAATGATTCTTAATTATTTTTAATTTTTTTAATTTTTATCTCAGAATTATAATTAAAATTTGATGAAAGTATTTTAATTAAAGCAAGAGGTTTTATAAAATTAAAAATATATACTTGATAGTCGTATTAAACGAAAAATATTTCAATAAATTTAAATTATGGATTCTGTAATATGGGTAGCAAACTTTGAATTTCTGATAATTTTAGTATAAAAGTATTAATATTGCATATTACGTAAATTCCATCAAAAATTATTTAGATTTACTCAATATTTATTGTAAATATTTGCAGTTGATAGAGCATGAATTCAAAAAGTATAATTGTAAAATAAACAAAGACTGGTATTTTTTTTCAAGTCAAAATGCAATAGATTAACTAATAATCTTTATGAATATGAATTTAAAAAAATAAGTTTGAATATATAGTGAATTAAATAATATAGATAAGTATATAGGAAGTCAAATACTCAAAAGTCTCAAGAATTTTTCCTCTTCTATTTCCCTAACTTCTCTCGATAGTTTTTTATATTTTTTCAAATATGATTTTAAATTTATTTATTTTTTCTACCTTAATCTTTTTTCAATTAATCTTATCAACTTTTGAATGCTCATTCTTATTTCTTATATGCTTCTCATGATATTTCAAAATTTAAAGAAAAAATCTTGTTATTTTTAATACTTATATATTAAAATCTAATTAATTAATATTTATATAATGGATTAAAACATTTAATTCTTGATAAGCAATTTAAATTCAGAACTATCAAAAATAGAGATATTAATTTAAATATATTTAATTTGCAAGATTGAATAGTTTTCATTAATTTTGGGGTGCTCTACAAATAGGACAACTGGGGACTAGATTTTCTTGAAACTACTTAATAAATTTTAAGATACTTTTTTTTAAAACCAATTAGAAATACATTCAGAATGAAAGATATGAGTAGGATGACAATGTAACTATTATATGTTTCCAGTAGCCTCTAATTCTTCAAAACATATTTAGCATTAAATTTTTTCTTCAATATTGTTTATGTTAAAATTTTATTGTAAGGCTTGTTGTTATCTTTGATCAGCTTGTGGCTCTAAGATCTAAATATCTTGTTATTCATTTTCAAGCAAAGATTCGAATAAAACTGAACCATTATCCATGGATTGCATTACTTAAAATTATACTTATGAAGCTCTTCTATGCAAAATTTTCATTTTATAATATTATCTAATTCTTCTAGGCATTTCTATAAATATTCCTAATGCCGTCAAGGTAAGTTCACAAAAAGATGTTAAACAAAGTATACCAACAAGATAGAAATTAAGATCTGATTAAAAACTCTATTCAAAGAACAATTAAACAATAACCCCAGCAGACAAGATAAAATAAAAGATATCCTTTGATTCACAACAATTATTATGAAAAGCTATTTTTATTCTGGTATAAAATTTTGAGCAAGTCGATACTTTATATAGGCATCCTAGAAATTAAATTTAAATTACCCAAATCAATCATTTACTCTAATCCTAGATTCTAGTTATTGTTTGCTCGTTCTGTTTCACTAATTAAAAAGCACATAGAAAGTACATTCAATTGTTACTTTGATGCCAAATATTGATTGATGAAGACAACTAACATCAAAAAATTTGCTATAATAAGTTCTGCTAAAAAAATGAGTTGATAAAAAGTATTTTTCAAGATTATAAAACCAATACAACCACTAATTAATCCAATTAGAGTAAGAGATCCTTAAAATTTATTTTACTTTCGAAAGCTTTTGATGGAATGTGCAGCACTTTTACTAATGATCATAAAAATAATATATTATGTTATATAAAATATATTTATATATGTTCTATTTGCAATTTATAATTCTTAGAATAATCTTTTAAAAATAAATCTATAAATATTAGATCCAAGTCATTTTGGTAAAATTTATTACAAGTAATAAAATAGACATTAATAAATTAAATAAAGCTGCTCACATATTATATTAATATAAAAAATGAATTAATTGGTATCAATTGATTCAACGTTATAAGCCAATTTAGAACGTCTTAGCTATTTGATGGCCTAAAAGAAAGAGAAGAAACCAGACTTTAGAGATTAATTTTAAACTCACTCAAACACTAAGAAAATATTCGTTAATTTGAGAGCATTTGTCAAGTAACCTTAACCTCCTTCTCCTCCCTCTTAGAACTAACAAAAAGAATAAAAAATTGCTTCATTAACAACTACTACATAAACTCAGACTCCAAAAACACCTAATCATAGATAATAGTTTCTAAGAAATTAGTCATTAGCCTAACTAGAACCTTTTATTAGAAGGTAAGAAATATCAGCAAACAATATAATGAGTGAAAGAACAAATACTAAAGCATGTTATAAGAATTGGGTTGGTTTATCAGTAATAGAAAGAAATGATTTATTTTTAAAGAAAAAATAGGAAAAATTAAAAAAAATGAGAGAGAATAAAGATGAATAAGAAATTAGTAAATGCACCTTTACTCCTCATTTTTATAACTAAATTCACATTGAAAGACCTTCTTCATGTTTTCAAAACAAATCTTATTAAGATATTCATAAATTAAGAAAGAACTAAAATGAAAAATTATATTGATCAAACTATTTCCACTTTTTATTTCATAAACATTTACAATATTTTCATAATTTAATTCAATTTAAGAATCATTCATAATAAACAAATATTTTTAATTAATATGATTTTAAATTCAAGATATCCAAATCTATTTCGAATAGTGCTCAGAAGAACTAACTTCTGATTATCTTTATGGATTTTTAATACGTCCTTAATTTTATTTGAACTAAAAATTTTATTATAAATTGAAACTTGTCTTGATTATTTTAATTCAACTAATGTTGTAAATGGTAAAAACTGCTTTAATCTTTCTGGTTTAACTTCAAGTTTAAATTTATTGATATCTTCCATATTTATTGCATAATAATCCAGGTATTCTTCAAAGACATTAACACTAATTTAATATAAAAGAGTAAATACTCATATTCAGTGTCAATTTTTGGTTTTATTTGTGCACCATTATAATATTTTTAGACTTCTTTTAAGACAACAGATAAATTATTATGAGTACTATAAATTTCAAAATCATATCCTTTTTCAAAATCATCAATTAAGGAGTAACTATGTTAACTTTTATTTTAAGTAAAATGATTTTCTTAAATTTGGTTTTCTTTTTCAACTTGATATTCTGATATAATTTAATCTACTCTTAATTTGATTTTAGAATCACTTTATTCATCAGAACTTTAGTTTTCATTAATTTTGATATGACTTACACTACTGCTTTAATAATTTAATGAAGGAGTTGAGGAATGAATTAATTATGACAGAGATTTAGTAAGGTTATAAATATCATTTTGTTTTTGAGTTATCATTTAAACTTAACTCTATTAAGCACGCATAACTTTTTAAATTTCTCTTCTTCTATTTCTATCTTCTTTAAATTTTGATTTGATTTTAATAGGTTAAACAAAGCTTTTTTCATATTAAATAGCCTTAGATTAAACTTCGTCTAAATTACATTCCTCTAAAATAAATCCTGTCATAGGGATAACAGTTTATATACTAAATGCTTCTTTTTTGATAAGAAATTAATGTTTAATAGCATTATAATGTACTCTATCCTTCCTTACATATTGTTTCATAACTTATTTAATACATCTATTCTTAGTTTTATTATAAACATAAAGATCAACAATAAAATGTAATTATGGACAATCTTTAACTACATGTCCAGGTAAATCACAAGCAAAACAATGTATTTATAATACTTAAAATTGATGTTTATTAACTTCATCTTAGATTTAGTAAAATTTTTCAAATTCTTTAGGATGCTTTTATAAAATTAATAAAAAGTCTTCCCTCTTAAGAACAAATAAATCACTAAAACCTTCGCTTTTTGCAGATGCAGTTCTGTTAACATTACCAAAGAAGTTGATTTCTCCAAAGATTTATTTATTTGTAAGTTTAGCAACTACTTATCTTGTTTTAGGAAGTACAATATTGATCATTCCATCTTGTATAAAATATAAATGATGTGAGTTTTTTGGATTATCTTCCATTATAACATATTCATCTGGTTATGCAGTTTATTCGAATAGAATTTAAGTAATTTCTTTTAAAAATGTAAAAGAAAAGGTTTTGAGGAAGTATGAATATGTAGCAAGAATATTACCATTAACATGGGCTGTAAGTGAGTATTTCAACTCTTAAGATAAGTTAGCTGTTATTGCATCTAATTTAATAAGTCTACTTGAATCCCAAATATACTATAAATATTTTCTTACCCTTTATTGAAGGTGTTTAGGTATTTTCACTTTTTACATATAATTATTAATTTCAGCAATATTCTTTTTTTATTGGTCTTTTTTTTAACTCATCTATTACATGGTATTTCCGATAGAATTCATAGTAAATGATAACACTCCACATGCTATTAATAAAAAGAATATTCCACAAAATCTCTCTAAAGTTGTTTAAGGTGAAATATCTCCATAACCAACTGTAATCATTGTTGTCACAGCCCAATAAATTGATGTTACATATCGAACTTCTACAGGTTAATCATAAATTCCAGCAACTACTAACCAATTATGATTTGGATCTTCATTCATTCCTACAAAATGGAATATACATCCTAACCAATGTGACCAGAATAATACAAAAAAACTTAATTTAAGAAAACTAGCAACAGTATTTATTATTGTGTAAGTTTGAAGTTGTTCTTCAATTTTATCAAATATAACTTTTAATTTTGCTAATCTTAGTAATCTAATGATCTTAATAAATCTAAAGAATTTTAAGAGTCTCAAAATTTATGCACTCTATTATAATGTTTTAGCTTTTTCTACACTTTTCNTTCTTAGTTTTATTATAAACATAAAGATCAACAATAAAATGTAATTATGGACAATCTTTAACTACATGTCCAGGTAAATCACAAGCAAAACAATGTATTTATAATACTTAAAATTGATGTTTATTAACTTCATCTTAGATTTAGTAAAATTTTTCAAATTCTTTAGGATGCTTTTATAAAATTAATAAAAAGTCTTCCCTCTTAAGAACAAATAAATCACTAAAACCTTCGCTTTTTGCAGATGCAGTTCTGTTAACATTACCAAAGAAGTTGATTTCTCCAAAGATTTATTTATTTGTAAGTTTAGCAACTACTTATCTTGTTTTAGGAAGTACAATATTGATCATTCCATCTTGTATAAAATATAAATGATGTGAGTTTTTTGGATTATCTTCCATTATAACATATTCATCTGGTTATGCAGTTTATTCGAATAGAATTTAAGTAATTTCTTTTAAAAATGTAAAAGAAAAGGTTTTGAGGAAGTATGAATATGTAGCAAGAATATTACCATTAACATGGGCTGTAAGTGAGTATTTCAACTCTTAAGATAAGTTAGCTGTTATTGCATCTAATTTAATAAGTCTACTTGAATCCCAAATATACTATAAATATTTTCTTACCCTTTATTGAAGGTGTTTAGGTATTTTCACTTTTTACATATAATTATTAATTTCAGCAATATTCTTTTTTTATTGGTCTTTTTTTTAACTCATCTATTACATGGTATTTCCGATAGAATTCATAGTAAATGATAACACTCCACATGCTATTAATAAAAAGAATATTCCACAAAATCTCTCTAAAGTTGTTTAAGGTGAAATATCTCCATAACCAACTGTAATCATTGTTGTCACAGCCCAATAAATTGATGTTACATATCGAACTTCTACAGGTTAATCATAAATTCCAGCAACTACTAACCAATTATGATTTGGATCTTCATTCATTCCTACAAAATGGAATATACATCCTAACCAATGTGACCAGAATAATACAAAAAAACTTAATTTAAGAAAACTAGCAACAGTATTTATTATTGTGTAAGTTTGAAGTTGTTCTTCAATTTTATCAAATATAACTTTTAATTTTGCTAATCTTAGTAATCTAATGATCTTAATAAATCTAAAGAATTTTAAGAGTCTCAAAATTTATGCACTCTATTATAATGTTTTAGCTTTTTCTACACTTTTCGTATTTATCTCGGTATCTTCGGCATTCGTAACAAGTATTGATTCGATGATCTATTTATGATTGCTTTGTTTAATACCATATCATATGGGAAAGATGCAATAATGTCTAACCAAAACCACAGTTTCATATACTGTTTAAATATTACAGGATACTGATAATTGATGCTTCCTTTGATCCAGACAGCTGTATTAAACGTAACTAAAATATCAATCAAGAAAATTATAGTAATGAATGTACCTAATTCCTCGCTTATTTCAAACTCAAAGCTAATTCTAAATGGTATTGATAAAATTTCATAGAATATTAGTAACATACACAGAAAATCCCATAAAATTTTAAGAGTGCCATCAGGAGAAAATACAATAGATTCTAAAAGGGTTAGTTATTTTTTTGGTTTTGTTCTTTGTTCAATTTGATTACTATTCTTCATTGATGAAAGTGCTAAGGTAAGAGTCACTTCCTTAGTTCTTTCTTTCTTTTCTGCTTAAATATCATTATCAAAAGGTGTCTTAAAATCATTTATTTTCTATTCATGTCTAGAATGATGAAATGACTTATTTAATAGTAATGAAATGCAATTACTTTGTCATTCAAAATATATTATTCAGTAGGAGACAAACATAGATATGTCTTACGATCTGATATAGACTTCTTTATAAATTCTTATCGTTTTCTATCTCTTTCTGTATGTTTATTAAAATGTTGTTTTTCTAAAAGGTTAGTCTTTAGAAATTTTTTAACAATAATTGACATTAATTTAATATGAGAACAACTCGGATTGCTCAAACTAAACAACAAGGTAATTAAAATAAGTTGACTTCAATCAAAAACACTCTTAAGTTTCAATTCGAAGATGAAAATGATAAAAATAATGATCGTACAACAAGTCCATCAATAACTATTAAAGATTTATGTTAAGAAGATAAAGCCAAAATAGGAGATCTAATTAAAAGATTAGCTTAAGAGTAAGAAGAAAATAAAAAGCTTTAAGAGTAAATAAAATAAAAAGAAGAAGAATGCAAAAAGTAGGTAACTAAATACAAATAACTTTCTGAATCAGCAAAAAAAGAATAAAAATAAACAGAAGAGAAATTCAAAGAATCTTTAGAAGTAATTAAGAAATTGCAATAGTAAGAATAACTAATTTAAGAATAAATGCTTTTAACAAGAGTGAATAAATTTGACTCATTCACCTAATATGAAATAGAGAACAAAGAAAATAATTCTAAAGTTTCCTAACCACCTTCATTACCACCTCCAAAATAATAAAAGAGTGAAATTTTGTAATTAAAAGCAGAAATAGAAGAATTTACAAATAGTTTGAAATAGTTATAGTTTGAATCAAGCAGTTAAGAAAAATAAGATATTTCTCTATTAAGAAGAGTACTTAAACCAGAAACTAAATACGAAAAACAAAAAGTGATTCCAAGACATTTCACACCTGTAAATGTGCCAAAGCCCGAACAAAAGAAACATATTGAAGTCTAAACTATAGATTATGGAAATATTATAAATCCTCATTAAAATTCAGCAGATAAATAAATCTAAACTGAAACTGAAAGCTTTGTTATAAATTCTCAAACATCTAATTTTTTCAAAAAAGAACCAGAGTAAATTCAACCTCAAATTAATATCAAAACTCCAGCAACCTAAAAAAGCAATTAAACTACTATTAGATTTTGTGAAGAATTTAAAGCTTTGGAAGATAAACTTAAATAAAATCAGAATCAATATTATAATCCTAATCATGATTTTTCTGTATAATCAGATAGTTTTTAATAAAACTAGCATTTATAGGATGAATCATCAGATGATGAAGAAGAATATAATATTGCTTAAGAATTGCTTAAACGTAAAAATCAAAGAATTTCACAACAATATTAAAAAAGGTCATCAATTGGATCTCAAAGAGGTTTATTATAATAATAATAAATTTCTGATGTTAGTATATAAAAATAACAATAGTTTCTCTAGAATAATAGTTATTAATAATAAATATAGAATCCTTATTATTAATAATAAACTTCATCAGCTTAATAATAGAATCTAATTTCATCAAATTATTTCAAAACTAATACTCTAAGTTTTAATTTAACTAATTAAGAATATACACCATAATAATCAGTTCAAAAATCTGCTGAATAATTTGGATCTAGCGTTATGCAGACACCTCAATAGAGAGATATGATTACTTAATAGTTATAATTTTCTTAATAAGAAGAAGAAATAGATTCAGTTATAACTAGTTTAAATGGAAGATCATTCAATAAACCTAATGTTTTATAGTAAGAAGAATATCCAATGATTGAATAGTAACAAGAGTCTTATTCTTCAGAGTCTTCAATACCTAGAGAAGAATATTAAAAATTAATTGATAAGTACATGAAAGATAATTAAGATTCAGAAGATGATTGAATATAATAATAAAAACTATATAACAACAATTAATTTATATTAAATTTTTAATGAGTAGAAGATAAAATGCAAATGATGATAATTTGAACTGGATACTTAAATATCCAAACGAATTTTCATAAGAGGATATTGAATCTTAACATATGCATGTACTTAAGTAAGAACAATTTGGGTAATTAAAAGAATAAGATGAGATTTTGAATGCATAACTTTATACTTTTTGGAATGGAAATATGGAGTGTAGTAAATTTATTTTAATGCCAAATTTACTTATTAAGGTAACCATTTAAAATGGCTTTTTATAAATACCATAAACATAATTTAATTAAGGAGGAGCAACATATTATTTATCCTTATCTGAGTGTACAATTACTTAGAAAATGATTCAACATAGATCATCATAAGCCTTTGGCATGCTTTTAACAAATTCAATTGGAACTACCTATGTTTTCTTTTCTAATTTTGTAACATTTAGAACATGGTATAAATAAATGAAACAATTTTGTAAACTCACAGGTTTTCTTGATAAATATAAATTGGGAGATAAACTGCTTCCTGGATTCTATACTTGTACAAAGAAAAAAAAGAAAACCTAATATACAGTTTAGATATATAAAAGCGATGATTTTGAACAATGTTAAGAATTGGAAGATGCTGTCTATAATGAAATATAAATATTGAGAAGTATCAAACATTAATCTTTGTTGGAATTAAAGAGAGTTTATGAAAATAATAAGTATCTTTTCATTGTATATGAATATTATAAAGGGGAAACACTATTCAATTTGTTAAATTCCAATCTTTAATTACATGAAGTTCAAATAGCCTCTGTATTTATTTCAATTATTTTAGATAATTTATTAAATCTTATAAGTTATCAAATTTCTTGATTAACATCAATTTTATCATGGTAGTATCAATCCATAAAATGTACTTATCAACACTCAGCATCAGATGTTATAAATTACATTAATAAATTTATCATTTAAAGAATATAAGGTAAATGATAAATTGGATTGGATTTTAAATCGAGCAGTTGAATCTTTCTTAGCTCCAGAAATATTTGATGGTATTGCACCAAATATATCAACTGATATTTATGCATTAGGATGTGTACTATATTTTATGACATATTATGATTCAAAAAAATATGAAGTAAATTTTATTGTTTATAAACTAGATTAAAAATGAAGATAAGGATTTTTATAATGTAATGGATAATTTTGAAATTCAAAAAAATAGAATTGATGAAAGTGAATAATAATTAAAAATTGGCTTCTAATAAAATCAATAAAAAAGTAAAGTTAGTTCCTCATAATTGGATCTTTTACGTAAAATGTTAGATGTTGATGCAAGTAAGTATTTAATAATATGAGATAAAAGATTGACAATAAAAGAAGCTACTAAACATCATTGGTTTGTAAATGTTAAAAGCAAAATTAAATCTTTAAAAGTTGAAAGAAAAAGAAAAAAACCACTTCCTAGTTTAAGAACTATTATTGAATTAAGAGAAATGAGTGAAATGGATGTGAGAATGACAATTATTTAATAGTAATAAAGTGGATTAAATGCTTTACATAATATGAATTCTAAATTATAATCAACTCCTTCAAATACAAAACGTACTTTAATTTATACATAATAACCCTCTAAATTAAGTTAGTTTGTAGCAAAGAATGAATTTGATGATGATTATGAAAGTAAGAATTTTATTTTTTATATTTTAGTACCTGATGAAGATCTTTTTTTGGAAGTACCAGTAATTAATCGTAAAAGAGAACCAAAAAAAAGACCATCCAATATCAAATTGCTCTGAAAAAATTAAAACTATTCAATTTTTAATTAATAATTATTTAATTCTTAAAATTTAGTGAAATATAAATCATGATTTTGGCTTCTAAACTATTGGCTCATCTATTTCATCACATTTAAATGATTGATTGTTTGATAAAGGAGAGCAAGGACTTCTCAATAAACTATTAGAAAATCTCCTTTTTATAGAGGAAGAGTTCTTTATATTTAATATCAAATTACATTGCAATGATCTAAATATTATTAAAGTTAGTTATCAATATATGATTTTGATAAATTTGGAGTAAGTTTTGGTATGAATTGATATTAACTACTTCTAATTTACTAACATTATAGAGGTGAAACATTTGGTCTATTTTCCTTTTCTACATCTCCTTCTGTCAGTTTTTAATTAATTAAAGACTTTGGATTAATCAAAGGTGGTGGCAAATTTTTTAAAATTTCAATTTACTCTTTTGAAAACAAGATTTTCTTCAAAAGATCTATCTCTTATAATCTTTTCAAGATTGTTACAATATCTAGGTTTTTAATTATTTTTTTTTTAGCTTTCAAAAATTAATAATGCTTTTCTTTTTTAAATCCAAATATGATTAAAAACGTTTCAATAAAAGATTTATTAAGCTTTTAATTTTCATGATTACATAAATTTTCATTATGTTTATTATTGATTTAAACTGGAAATTAAGATTCTCTTTCACTCTAAATTAATTAATTTTTTGTTTGAGGTTATATTTATTTATCTAATTCATCAAATCGAAAAAGAGAATTCGCAATTTCTAACTTCATTAAATTTTCAATAATTGGTTTAGAAATTATAGCAACAATTAAAATAAATAATTATAATATTCCTCCTAGCTTTGCTAAAATTGTTTGCAATTTAATATATGTTCTTAAGTTATTTGTCTGCTTATAGTCTAATCTAATAACATGAAGAACTAAATATTATTAATTATAAAAGTCTGATATTTCTCTCCATTCTGTTTATTAAATATTGTATTAAATGTTCTCTTATTACCAAATCAACCCTTCATCTGTAATTGTTTTTACTATTCTATACTATTATACAATCATTTTTGATGTGCTCGATGAAAATCCAGTAAATTCATTGGTTATAATCTATTTATAAGGCTATCCAGGATGATCAAGTTAAGATAAATAATCCGTTTTATAGACATTATAATGACCAGCTTATAAGATATCATCAATTTCTTCTTAAGGAGCGCAGCTTTGTTAATTGGTTGTATTTTAACATGCAGAAAATTATATAAACAAATACTTGTATTCTAAAGCATTGAATTAACCTTTTAAAACCTAATTTATCAATTTTTTTATACTGGGGGATTGTTATTTAAGTAATCTCTATTAATACATTAAACTCCTCCTAATCTTATGGTATTAAAATAGCCTTATTATAATTCAGTTGTAAAATGAGACATGTTGCAAGTTTCTATTGGCATCTCAACACACCTGATTTTACAAAATTTTATACTTCAATGTCACTGTTACATTGCCTGTTTTCCCATCTTTAATTCTTTCTCTAGTGCACTGACTAACATTTAAGTTAAAGTATTTATTTATTCCTATCAATGGCTAAGAGAAGCGATTAGCAATTGATATGGCTAGTGTAAAATTATCATTATTAAGATAATAAGACTATTTTATTAGTTTTGTTTACATCTGTTTCTATCACTTATAATTCTGTTTAATATATAGAGGGTTTTGATTTGGAAATCATAGATGAGATTTCTGTTATCACATAGTAAGCACTAAGGGTTCCTATCAAAAGTGACATTAAAAATCCTAATTTAGAAGTGTATTTATTTCGATTAAGAACTGTAAAGCTTGGAAGTTGACCAAATATGTCTAATTGATACATAAATTCATTTTTCAACATTATGAAAGTCTTGGTAATGTTTTCAAATATCTTTGGCATAATTTAATTAAATAACAAAGTTTTTTAAGAATTATTATGGATAAAAAGTTATTTAGATAATATTGCTACTTAATTTTTTTATTCTTTACTCATTATAAATAGGTAAAGATAAGTCATTTTAAAATAATAGTAAACATAAAATTAGAGTTATAAAAATAATCCATACTTTTAAATCAATCAAAGATTAATTGTAGAAAAATATATTTCATAATATTAATAATTATTAAGGTGTTATCAATCTTAATCTCAAGTTTTTATTTAAAGTATTTTACTTATAAAATAATACTTTTTCTTTTTCACACCAATTTTAATTCTATCAAATTATTCATATTTGGATAATCATCTATGCTGATGATTTTTGGTGCCAAATTAAAGAAAAAATTATTAGAATTAATTATAATTTCTCATTTTTTGAGTCGGTTCGAATTGAATTTCTTAAAAATTATGAAATCTCATTTACTAATAATGACCAAAAATTCTTAAATATTTTGAGCAATTCCAAAAATTCTTAAAAGATTACTGAAATAATTTAACGTTTATTATACAACAGTTTATTCAAAGGTTAAAATCGACTTATGTTTATTACCTTGATTTAATATGAATAAAAAGAAACTCTTAAATTTTAAACTATTATAAATAATAAGGATCTAACTACTAAATCATTTTTTGCGGGATTAAGAAAAGAATATGTGAGTTTTATAATTTGAAATTCAACTTTAATTTCTCATCCATTTTATAGTTTTAGAATAATATAAATTATTAAGATTGCAATATATACAAACATCAAATTTAATAATTTGATATAATAATCATTTATCAAGAAAGTAAATAAACTTATATTAAAATATATTTTATAGAAATATTACGAATTAATTAAAGAAATCAGATTTTTAATTTTGATTATTGTGATATAAAAAAAACTTGATGAATCATATTTGTTTAGTAAAATAATTTTTTTATTTGATTAATAAATTAAAAACAAGCGAATATGGAGAATACGAACTTTTTAAAAAGAAGGTTTAGAAGTAGTGGTTCGCTTGATATGAGAGATACAATGTCGAGTTCTTAAGGGTTTTTTAGTTCTAATAAACTATTTTTGAACTAATAAGGATTAAGTTCCAATATTTCTTCATCAACTTTAAGACATACAGCTGTCTAATATTCCTTCCCTAGAGCTCATAGATTTAATTCTTAATCAGAATATAATATTTCACTTTTAGAACTTCCAAGTTAATTAGGCAATAAAACAACTTCATAAGGATTTGGGGGAAGAATAGAAAACTTTTAATGGACTTGGTAAGAAACAAATGCAAAAGAAATGCCTAGTCCTGACAGATATGAAATAAGGGAAATTCCAGGAAAAGATAAATTAAAAAGGTCTTTCGGAGGACCTTGGGAATTATACTCAAAAACATATATTCCTTATAATAAGCACTAAGCTCCATAAATAGCTAAATTTTTACCAGGTAATAATTCAAACTATAAGAAGGTCCTGGAGAATATAGAGTTAGAAAAGATTTGGGTTAGCATAGATACAAATTTTTATTGAAAGGGAAGGGGAAAATGTTGAATGATAATCCAGATAATGGAGTTCCAGGTCCTGAGGCTTATTCTCCAACTACAAAACTTACTTCACCTTCTCGATTCAAAGTATAGAGTCAAATTTAATAATTAGGATATCACTTAAGGGATAGGTGAAAAAAAAGATCCCTTTCGATCAACTAGTACAACACCAGGTCCTGGAAAATATGAAATACCATCAGCGTTCTCGAAAAAACTTAGGGTAAGAGGAGGGGATAAGCGGGCCTTTATTTGATAATTAATAATAAAAAGCTATTAAAAGCAATTATTTTAATAGATATTTTATATAACATCTAATTTATTATTAAATGAATTTAATTTACTTTTCATTTTCATCTATAAATTTATTTTCAAATTTTAAACAGAAAGTTAATTATGAGGTTTACTCTCATTCTTCCAGATTTTACATTTATTAAGAATTCTAAAATATTAACTAGTAGTTTTTGAATCAGAACCGTAAAAAAATGATTTCCAAGCTATTTATTCAAACAAAAGTACATATATATTGGTTTTTATTATCTATCCTATTTCTGATGGCTCAAATATAAATAAAAATATTTAATATTGTGCCATATTTGTAAATATTATATTCGTTTTAAAAAATAACAAAAATTTTCCAAATTTTTTGAATAAATATTTTTTATTTACAAAAATAACTAAGTGGTTTTAATACTGCTTAATAAATGAAGGAGCATAAATCAAAGATCATTAAATAAAAAATAAATATAGAAATACAACCATTTCGAGTTACTGAATGAGAATTGAAGAAATAAGAAAGAAACTCTTTTTATTTTTTCTTCCTTTACTTAAATGAATGCTTTTATTTATATTTTTAAGTATCTANCCTAGAGCTCATAGATTTAATTCTTAATCAGAATATAATATTTCACTTTTAGAACTTCCAAGTTAATTAGGCAATAAAACAACTTCATAAGGATTTGGGGGAAGAATAGAAAACTTTTAATGGACTTGGTAAGAAACAAATGCAAAAGAAATGCCTAGTCCTGACAGATATGAAATAAGGGAAATTCCAGGAAAAGATAAATTAAAAAGGTCTTTCGGAGGACCTTGGGAATTATACTCAAAAACATATATTCCTTATAATAAGCACTAAGCTCCATAAATAGCTAAATTTTTACCAGGTAATAATTCAAACTATAAGAAGGTCCTGGAGAATATAGAGTTAGAAAAGATTTGGGTTAGCATAGATACAAATTTTTATTGAAAGGGAAGGGGAAAATGTTGAATGATAATCCAGATAATGGAGTTCCAGGTCCTGAGGCTTATTCTCCAACTACAAAACTTACTTCACCTTCTCGATTCAAAGTATAGAGTCAAATTTAATAATTAGGATATCACTTAAGGGATAGGTGAAAAAAAAGATCCCTTTCGATCAACTAGTACAACACCAGGTCCTGGAAAATATGAAATACCATCAGCGTTCTCGAAAAAACTTAGGGTAAGAGGAGGGGATAAGCGGGCCTTTATTTGATAATTAATAATAAAAAGCTATTAAAAGCAATTATTTTAATAGATATTTTATATAACATCTAATTTATTATTAAATGAATTTAATTTACTTTTCATTTTCATCTATAAATTTATTTTCAAATTTTAAACAGAAAGTTAATTATGAGGTTTACTCTCATTCTTCCAGATTTTACATTTATTAAGAATTCTAAAATATTAACTAGTAGTTTTTGAATCAGAACCGTAAAAAAATGATTTCCAAGCTATTTATTCAAACAAAAGTACATATATATTGGTTTTTATTATCTATCCTATTTCTGATGGCTCAAATATAAATAAAAATATTTAATATTGTGCCATATTTGTAAATATTATATTCGTTTTAAAAAATAACAAAAATTTTCCAAATTTTTTGAATAAATATTTTTTATTTACAAAAATAACTAAGTGGTTTTAATACTGCTTAATAAATGAAGGAGCATAAATCAAAGATCATTAAATAAAAAATAAATATAGAAATACAACCATTTCGAGTTACTGAATGAGAATTGAAGAAATAAGAAAGAAACTCTTTTTATTTTTTCTTCCTTTACTTAAATGAATGCTTTTATTTATATTTTTAAGTATCTATGGAAAGAACATTCAAATTTTTATGTTAACACACATTATTATTATTCTTGCAACAAATCATTAAAAGAATATAATTATTTTCGGTTTTTTTGCTTAGAATATGCTTGATACAGAATTTGAGTGATAAATTTATTTGGGTTTTAATTAAAATAATAATTTCAGTTTATACAATAAAATTTTGCAGCACATCTTGAATACTTTAACTTAAGTTGATAAAAAAAAATAAAATTAGAATGTAGTTTGATACAAGAATGGATAAATTGCGTATAAATAAATGATTCAAAATATAAAACATCATATAATAAATAATTTATCCAATTTTGATCTTGAATTATATAATATTTTTTAATCCGTTTTGATGATTAAGTACTTACTTTTAGTATGTTTGATCACAGCGCCTTTTGCCCAAACACCAGAGGCAGTAGTAACTCATTATGATTTGGAAGGCAATTTGATATAAGAAGATAGCTCCTTATAAGGATCTGAGGACATAAATAGCATGAATTCAATGAACATGAATTAATAAGATTTAGATACAGGCAGCGTAGATATTATTGGAACTGACAGCATAGACTATTCTACCCCTGAAACAGAATCTTTTGAAAGTAGTAATTTAGAATCAGAAATTAATTAAGAATAAAACATGAATGACAGCATGAATATTGACCCTAATTAAATGAATTCAGAGGATTAAATTATGGTAAACAATACTATTGAGAATTCAATGCCTGAGTAAGACTCGATGTATAGCACTAATGATCCTAATGATATTAGTGCTTTAGAGCCAGAATAATAAATTGCTGAAGAAGCAAATGTTATTGAAAGCACTGAAGTTTCAAATATAGCAGATGTAAATTCTGAAGTGGTCAATCAAATAGACAATAATAATTTGATTGCAGAATCAAATTAGATTGGTAATGTAGATCCAAACAATTTTGAAATACAATAAGATAATTAAATTGATGTTTCAAACATTTTAGAGTCAAATCTTGGATTTACTGACAGTAGTATGTCAAATATTTAAAATTAAAATGAAGTTGATCCAAATATGGCATTTGATATTCTTACAAACATGGATGCATTGCAACCTTCTCCAGAAATGGAAAATGGATTTGCTTAAAGTGAAATCAATGTTGAATAAACTAAAGGAATGAAGACTGAAGATGTTAAGAATGAAGAAGGTGATCCAGCTGAAGGTTAAGGAGATGCAGGAGAAAGTGGACAAACAGATGGGTAGGATAGATAACATGATGGAGAAAATGATGGATAAAATGATGGGCAAGATGGATAAGCCGAGGAACAAACAGATGGATAAACTGATAGTTAAGATGCTTAAACTGATAGCTAAGATGCTTAAACTGATAGTTAAGATGCTTAAACTGATAGTTAAGATGCTTAAACTGATAGCTAAGATGCTTAAACTGATAGTTAAGATGCTTAAACTGATAGTTAAGATGCTTAAACTGATAGCTAACATGATGGATAACATGACGGAGAACATGATGGATAAAATGATGGATAAACTTTGCAAGCATCTCCAGAAATCGAAGATGGATTCGTTCAAAGTGAAATCAGTGTTGAAAAAACTTAAAGCAAAAAGACCCCCGTTATTTAGAATGAAGAAGGTGATCCTACAGATGGTTAAGGAGGTTCAGATAGCTAAGATTAATAAGATGGAGAACACTAAAGGGAACATTAAGGTGAACATGATGGAGAACATGATGGATAACAAGATGGAGAACATGATGGATAACAAGATGGATAACACGATGGAGAACATGATGGATAAAATGATGGAGAACATGATGGATAACACGATGGAGAACATGATGGAGAACATGATGGATAAAATGATGGAGAACATGATGGATAAAATGATGGAGAACAAGATGGATAAAATGATGGAGAACATGATGGATAAGCCGATGAACAAACAGATGAATAGGATGGATAAACTGATAGTTAAGATGCTTAAACTGATAGCTAACATGATGGAGAACATGATGGATAAACTTTGCAAGCATCTCCAGAAATCGAAGATGGATTCGCTCAAAGTGAAATCAGTGTTGAAAAAACTTAAAGCAAAAAGACCCCCGTTATTTAGAATGAAGAAGGTGATCCTACAGATGGTTAAGGAGGTTCAGATAGCTAAGATTAATAAGATGGAGAACACTAAAGGGAACATTAAGGTGAACATGATGGAGAACATGATGGATAACAAGATGGAGAACATGATGGATAAAATGATGGAGAACATGATGGATAAAATGATGGAGAACAAGATGGATAAAATGATGGAGAACATGATGGATAAAATGATGGAGAACATGATGGAGAACATGATGGATAAAATGATGGAGAACAAGATGGATAAAATGATGGAGAACATGATGGATAAAATGATGGGCATGATGGATAAGCCGATGAACAAACAGATGGATAAGATGGATAAACTGATAGTTAAGATGCTTAAACTGATAGCTAACATGATGGAGAACACTAAGGGGAACATGGAGGGGAACGAGAAAGAGGCTAATAAAACGAACTTAAAGCATCAGAATCCGCAAACAAAAAATAATTAGTTTAAGGAAACTGTATTATCATATATTCTCAATGCAACTTCAAGGGAGAAGCTTTAGAAGCTTGTAATAGTCTCAGTGAAATTGAGTATTTTTATTTTTTATTTTAGGGAATTCAAGGCATAAATTAGATCAATTTATATCCCACAAGGCTTAGGCTTGACTGTATATGATGGTGAGAACTTCACTGGTAACATGCATAAATTCAAAACTTCTTAAGAATGCTTGACAACGCCATTGTCGTTTGCACAATTAGCCAATTCAGGAAATTATTTGAAAGGGCAAAATTTGAGGTCCAGATAATGAAATAATTATAAAATTCATAAAAATATTAATCTGGGTTTTCTTTATTTCATGCATTTGATAATCATAAATCTAATTTTTAAAAACAGATTTTTTAAAACTACTTTTAAAAAATAACATCCAATTTTACAAACGAAATATTTTTATGATTGAACTATATGCAATGACAATAATTAATTGCTTAACCTAGAATATAAGTTTTTTAAAAAACATTTTATAATTTTATCTGTCTTTGTAGAGTATATAAAATGAAGAATTTTAAATTAATATTTGAAATCACATATATTAACTTCAAAATATAAGATAAAACATGAAGTATTTAAAATAGTATCAAATGATGGTAGGCTAATATCAATTTCAGAAATCATTAAACATCCGTTCTAAAATAATAAATTTTTCCTTTTGGTATCAGATGGAAATTTTGCTTATTTTGAGATATTTATGCAGACTTTTCTAACTATTTATCCAACATCAACATTTTTCAATTTTTTAGATACTTAATCAGTGTGATTTAGAACATAACTCTTTTTTAGGTAAATTCCTCACTGTAAATCCATAATCTGATTTTGGGTGAATCCTTTTTAGACCAATATAAAACTTTCTTTTGTTTTTATTTGACTAAAAATCGTTACTTTGTATCTATAAAAAATAGCTAAATAAAGTGAAAAATGTAATTTTGAATTAGAAAGTGAATAAAATAGTCGATGATTTAACAAAATTTTTGAAATTATTATACATTCAATTAAGCTTTCATAAAGAAAATGAATAATTATAATTATTGCTCAATAAATAAAAAATTTTAAATAAATTAAATAAAAACACACAGAATGCAGGGAGATAATCGCAAAATCACCTTGGGAAAATTAAGAAGATAAGGTTATAGATTAAATTAATAAAGTTTAAAAAGTAGACTAAAATTTTACTCTTTGATTCGATTGTAATAATATAAATTGGATTATAAATAACTAAACTTTGAAATTATAATTATTGGAATATTAAAATATTATATTAAGAATTTAATAATTTAAAACTCAATTACATAATCTCCACAAAAATTATAGTATTTAATTAATCTTATATTTAGTTAACTTAAATGATTAAAAGTAAATCGACTTCTTTAGTCTAAGTAATGAATGCAAAAAAATTAACTTTAAACATTTTAATGTTAAAGTATTAAAGATTTTATGAGCAGGATTCCTTATTTCAAAACTTTCAAATTCTATTGAGTTCATAAACAAACAAGTATAAGTAACCTTTCTTGTTGTGGTCACTTATGCAGGTAAATTGCCGACTAATATTTTACAATAGGATCGCAAGTTCCTGTCTTGTCTCCACCTTTAAATCTCTTACTTCAATTTATTTAGACTTGAACCAAGTATTCCTACCACTGCTGCTACTTATTTTCATTCTAAAAATATATAATATTTTTATTATTAAGTGATTATTATTATATTGATTATCATCATTTTCTTATTAAAATTAATATAAAATAATATTTCAGAGTTTATAAAATAATTTAAGTATAGAAACGCAAAGTAAGATAATTATTCAATAAATATTTAAATTTTAAATTATCATTTATTCCTTCATAACCCACCTTGCCATTACTATTTATTACTCAATAAATTATTAACACAGAGTAACTTTTAATTTTCATAAGTTTTTTTACAAAATTCCTATTTGTCTTTTCAAAGTAGGCAAAAACTATTAAATCCTCGTTTTTATTAATAATCATAATTAAATTAAAATAAGAAAGATTGTTCATGTGAAAATATTATCTAGTTTTTATTCATTTTAGCTGTTAAATTTTTTCATTAGAAAATAACACAAGAAGTTTTTTTTATCAAATATCGTTTTTTTCATTCTTTTCTACTTAATATCGAAGTTCTATAAATGATATATAATTACAAATTAATTTATGTCAAAAATGATAATTAAAAAGTTCTCAACCACTTTATCAAGAATAAAAAATGAAACAATACATTAATTAGATATTTTTGGTCAGTTGCCTAGCTTCACCGTCTTGAATAAAAGTAAATATACTTCGAACTTTGGATTTTTTATGTCATTAATCATTGGCTGTTTAGCCTTGTACTATTTGAATTCAGAGATAGCTTCTATGATTCTTAAATAAAAACCATCCATTTATTAATCAGAAAATAAAGTGATTGAGACTGAAGTACATAATTATGTTCATGATTTTAGGAGTATTCCCTTAAAAATTCTAATTTTACTCTAGCAGTATCGATTGCTAGCTAATTTTCTTAACCAATAAATGGAATTAATAAATATTACCATCTCAACATCAGTTAATGTGTTCGATAGAGAATTAAAGATGAACTAACTGGAAATACGACAGTATTGTTAGAGTAAGTTTTTTCGATAATGATTTAGCTGCTAAGAAATTCCAATAGAAACTTGTGATATGTCTCATTTTACAACTGAATTGTAATAGTAATACTTTTCAACTATCAGATTTGGAACCGTTTAGTGTATTAAAAGAGATTATTTAGAAATGAATCCATTAGTAAATATTTTTTAAGAGATTAGATCTTATAAGGACAATTTAATGCTAGGATATACAAGTATTTGTTAATTTAATTTGCACCCTGTACAAATTCAACTAGTTTCTAGGGATGTGCTCCCTAAGAAGAAATTAATAAAATTCTGGAAGCAGGACAATATAATGTGTATAAAAGTGATTACTTGACTTAACTTGAACATTCTGGATTACCATATGAATAAATTATTACAAATGAATTCACAAGTTTTTCGTTAAGTACATCAAAAACAATTGTTCATTCATACCGAATAATGCAAACTCAAACAGATCAAGGATTAATTTGGGAAGAGAGTTATATGAATACCAATTTGTAATAATAAGAATGGAGGGAAGTGTCGGACTTTTTTAATCATCAATATTTAGTTTGTCATTACATAAAATTAGATTTTAAGTAAACAAGTATAAAAAGAACTTATATTAAACTACAAACTATTCTTGCCAAAATAGGAGGCATATTATAAATATTAATAATGATAGTAGGAATATTTCTAAAACCCTTAATTGAGAATTTAATGAAATTTGAAATCGCTTCATCACTCTACAGTTATTAGGAAGAACAAGCTGAACAATAACATATATCTGGTTAAATTATATCCATTGAAAGAGATCTTTAATCACCATCAAATTTGAGTAAGTTTTCCAATTTTTATTCATCTGATGAAAAACCTCCATTTAAAAAACAAATCGTGTAAACTTCTTGTTTCAAAACTTTTCTCATAATTATTGGATTTAATAAATTTAAACACCAATAATTTTGTATAGCTAAGAAAAAAATAATTAAAAATTTAGATATTGTTACAATCCTAAAAAAATTATAAGATTTAGATACTATTAAAAAGATACTGTTTACCTAAGAATAATTAGAGTAACTCAAAAGAAGGCCTAAGCCGAAATTAAAGAAAAACAAATAAGATAGTATTATTGAGAAAAATTTGAATTAACCGGATCAAGTGTAAATTAGATCAAATTTTTTCTCTTAATAACTAACAGAAGGGTCTCAATCGAATCTATTTAAGAATTATATTGAAAATTAATTCTTATAACATGTTCACAATTCTAATTAACTACAATAACATGCTAAAACTGCCGAAGATTAACAATCAGGTTAAAACAATATTCTCTAAAGTTCTCAACATCTATCAAATTTCAATTCAAAAAAATCACATGATCCTGAGGCTCCCCATCTTCAATTTTAATAATTAGAGAAAAAATCTGATATAGAAATTTGTATCGAATAGTGAATCTTATTTTCCTAAAAATAAAGTTCAAATAATTTACTTAGATTACATAAATATATAAGATTTCATTTTATTATTTTTTAATCTCAAAATATAAATGATGCATGGTTTTTAGTTTTAAGAAGTTACTACTTTGATAAAACAGATAACGATTTGATTATTTTTTTTTTAGTTCTAAAAGCAAATCTTAAAAATTATTTAATAAAATGGCTTCTGCATTTCCAAAATTACCAGGTTTTGTTCCAACTTAAGAATTGGATGTAAATTTAACATATATCAAAGAAACCGAACTTTCGAAAAGTGTCTGCAGTAAAATAAGAGTAAAATAGAGAAATAGTAAGAAATTGAAGTTTTACAATATATTAGAAACAACAGCCAAATATAGAATACCCAGTACCTAGAAAATAGCCTATTTAAATTCCCCCTTAAACTGGAATGTTTAATCCAGATTACTTAAGTACAACACATGCTATGCACATGCCAAAAGTACTTAGATAAAAATATTAATAAGAATGTAACAAACGATTCTGAAGAGCTTTATTAGCCAAGTTGGGTAAAGATGGATAGACATGTTTTGAGATTCAGTGGTTATTTTAAAGAAGCAGTGGTTGAATCAGCTTTAGAGAATTACAGAATTCGCAAAATAACATTATTTTACTATTTAGAGGATCACTCATTAAGTATGACAGAACCAAAATAAGAAAATAGTGGAGTTCCTTAAGGGGCATTTTTGAAAAGATAAAAAGTAAGATTATATTAATAATGTAAAGGTGTTAAGAGCTGATGGTTCCAAGACATTTATTATGCCAGAAGACTTGAGAATAAATCAAGATATTGAGATATTTGGTAAAACAATTAGATTATATGATTGTGACTAATACACTAGAGAATTTTATGAAGTTTGATCATCTACTATATATGATAGGGAATAGGTTAACCTTAATCAGCATCCTTTGATCCAGGCAGTGATTCTTTTGAGACTAAGACTATGACAAAATATATACCTTAAAAAGACACAGTTATGAAGGATTATTTAGAACACAAATTAGGTGGAGGTAAAGTGACATCATAAAAATAATTTTTAGAAAATGATAGAAAAGTAAATTTAAATATCAAATTTTTAGGTGCTTAAATTTTATGTATTCTCTGATATAGATTATGTATTACATTATTATTTGGCTGATGACACTATTGAAATTAAAGAAATCAATTCAGCAAATTCTGGTCGGGTTCCATTTCCAATGATGTTGAGAAGATAAAAATTACCTCGTAAATTCTCACTTAATCAACCTGGTTAAACTTATGCTGAAGATTTTATTAGACCTTAAGACATTCAATTTGGATAACCATTAATTATTTACAATAGAAAATTTTTAATTAAAGGTTGTGATCCCTTCACTAGATATTATTATTAAGAAAAATTTAATGTTGATTTTCCTTTAGGAGGTTAAGAAGAATACTAATAAGAATAAAGATCAAGTATTTATTCTACTTATTTTAGATATCATTATTCCTCCTCATAATGGTATTGGAGATGAATAAGATTCATTAGGTTATATTTATAGGCTTTAACCAAAACCTCCAAAAAAAGATTTCTTCAAGTGGGTTGATAATCAAGTTAATTTAAGATTTTTGGCTATGTTTAATACTACTAAACCTGAAGATAAAGACAGGTAAGTTATTCAATTTCAATATAGAGTATTTGTTATAACATACTTTTTAAATGATGATAGCTTATTGGTGTATGAACCAACTGTTAGAAATTCAGGAATTCCAGATGGTAAATTCTTAGAAAAAAGAAAATATAAAAATGTGAACAATAATAATGAATATTTTGTTCCTTTAGATTTAATTGTAGGAAATGAAGTTTTGATAAATGGATGGAAATTTTAATTACTAGATTGTGATGAATTCACTAAAAAATGGTATGCTGAAAATTTTAAATGAATTTATCTGTTTTACACAACATATCTATGTTTATCAATTATTAGATAACTTAAATTTATATTCTAAATAAATATATTTTTATTAAATCATTTCCTTCAACGAAGCAATTCTTAATTAGGCAATTCATATCCTAATTCATTCTTAACATCCTCTTTAAGATCATCATATGATTTGAATTCAATTTTAACGGCTTCATTAAATTTCAAAATTTTCTTAAACGCTGTAAATTATTATTCCAATTTGAACCATAAATATTGAATCCTTCCAAACTCAGTATTTCTACATATCACAAATCTACCATCTCTAATTCCAATAAATTATTTGCAAGTAAATAAATTTAAATAATCTTTATGAATATCCTCTACTGAGGCAAATTTTAATGGTTTTTCAAAATCATAATATGTGACCCAATTTACATCTATATAATGTTAAAATTAATAATGTGTTTCATTTTCTTGGATTCTATAATGTTCTTATGCAAATAATTCATGAGTTTCAGCCAAATTTTAAAAGTTTACTTTTATAGGGAATCTATAAGATCTTGCTCCAAATCCTGGATCCACCAAAAATGTTTCATCTCTTATTTTTACACATAAAAATGCATGTGTACTTGGATAATCTGGATTATAAGGGCTATTTGGTTCTCGAACTTAACATCTAATCAATTCCACATTAAACCCTAAATATCCTAAAATATAATAAAGTAAAAGTTCATGCTCATAACATAATCCGCCTATTTTTTATACGCATAGTCTCTGTAAAATGTCAGCAAATTCCATAGAAATTGGTTTCAATTCTTTCAAATGCAATTCACAATTTTAATAAAAATTGTATATTAACTGTTTGTTTGTTAAAAGATATAATGCTTCAACTGGAAACTGATAACTTTATGTCAATTGGAAGTCCAATACCTTTTAAATAAGTTTGATACTCTTCTTAGGATATTTATTATTTCATAATAATTAAATTAATAATAATATTATCTATCAATTTACTTTGATCAGAACTCAATTANGTAAATTCTTAGAAAAAAGAAAATATAAAAATGTGAACAATAATAATGAATATTTTGTTCCTTTAGATTTAATTGTAGGAAATGAAGTTTTGATAAATGGATGGAAATTTTAATTACTAGATTGTGATGAATTCACTAAAAAATGGTATGCTGAAAATTTTAAATGAATTTATCTGTTTTACACAACATATCTATGTTTATCAATTATTAGATAACTTAAATTTATATTCTAAATAAATATATTTTTATTAAATCATTTCCTTCAACGAAGCAATTCTTAATTAGGCAATTCATATCCTAATTCATTCTTAACATCCTCTTTAAGATCATCATATGATTTGAATTCAATTTTAACGGCTTCATTAAATTTCAAAATTTTCTTAAACGCTGTAAATTATTATTCCAATTTGAACCATAAATATTGAATCCTTCCAAACTCAGTATTTCTACATATCACAAATCTACCATCTCTAATTCCAATAAATTATTTGCAAGTAAATAAATTTAAATAATCTTTATGAATATCCTCTACTGAGGCAAATTTTAATGGTTTTTCAAAATCATAATATGTGACCCAATTTACATCTATATAATGTTAAAATTAATAATGTGTTTCATTTTCTTGGATTCTATAATGTTCTTATGCAAATAATTCATGAGTTTCAGCCAAATTTTAAAAGTTTACTTTTATAGGGAATCTATAAGATCTTGCTCCAAATCCTGGATCCACCAAAAATGTTTCATCTCTTATTTTTACACATAAAAATGCATGTGTACTTGGATAATCTGGATTATAAGGGCTATTTGGTTCTCGAACTTAACATCTAATCAATTCCACATTAAACCCTAAATATCCTAAAATATAATAAAGTAAAAGTTCATGCTCATAACATAATCCGCCTATTTTTTATACGCATAGTCTCTGTAAAATGTCAGCAAATTCCATAGAAATTGGTTTCAATTCTTTCAAATGCAATTCACAATTTTAATAAAAATTGTATATTAACTGTTTGTTTGTTAAAAGATATAATGCTTCAACTGGAAACTGATAACTTTATGTCAATTGGAAGTCCAATACCTTTTAAATAAGTTTGATACTCTTCTTAGGATATTTATTATTTCATAATAATTAAATTAATAATAATATTATCTATCAATTTACTTTGATCAGAACTCAATTATTATTCAGAGCAAAAAAATAATAAACTTAAACAAAAATTAATTTTTATTCTTTAATAATTTCTTATTCATGCTGAATAAAATAAATTATTAATTTAATTTAATAATTAATTGACCTTTTTCTAAAATCCATCAGAAAAAAAATTGTTTTTAAGATTCAAACTAATGATTCCTAATTTACGTTAAAAATAATAATTAAAATATTTTAATTACGAAATTTAGAAAAGTTTTGATTAATTATTTTAATAATCTTATAAGAACCAAATCAACAAACAATAAATTATTTTTAATTAATTTAATATCAATTTTACTTATATTCGTGATAAATATTGTAATTTAAAATATAAAAAAAAGGCAAATAGTTTAAAATTAATGTACTTTTAATTTTTTATTTCATTTAATTTCTGAAAAATCTGGTAAATCAAAACCCAATTCCTTTTTAACATCATTTTTTAAGTCTTAATAACTTTTATACTCTATTTTGGATACCTCATCAAATTTAAAGATTTTTTTAAATGATGTAAATTCTTTTTCCATTCTAAACCAAAAGAATTAAATTCTTCCTTCTTCAGTATATTTGCAAAGTTAGAATCTATTATCTCTCACTCCAGAAAATTTATCGTAAGTAAATAAGTAATGGTAATCTTGATGGATTTCTTCGATTGTTGAGAATTTGAGTGGTTTTAAGAAATGAAAATACGTCATCCATTTGTCGCCTATGAAATGTTAAAATTAATAATGAGTCTCGTTTTCTGTAAATCTATACCACTCTAAAGGAAACAAATCATAAGATGCATTCAGATTTTAAAAGTCAATTTTTATTGGAAATCTTAGCGATCTTGTTCCAAAACCAGGATCAGTCATATATTTTTCATCTCCTATAGTAACAAGTAAAAATGCATGAGTGCTTGGAAACTCAGGATCATATGGACAGCCAGCCTCTTAAACAAAGCTTCTAATAAATTCCACTTTAAATCCTAAATATTGAAGAATATAATAAAATAATAATTCATGTTCATAGCATAGTCCACCTACTTTCTAAATACACAATCTTTTCAAGATATCCGTAAATTAAAGGGAGATTTGTTTTGACTCCTTCAAATGTAAATTAATATTTTGATAAAAAGTGTACATAAGTTGCTTATTAGCTAAGAGATATAAAGTTTCAACTGTAACTGATAAATTGATATCAGCCGGAAGTCCAATACATTTTAAATAAGTCTTAAAATCTTCTTATGAGATTTTTATATTTTATTCCATAATAATTTAATAATAAGAAATCAAAGAAAGTGATTTTAATAATATTTATTTATTTATGTACAATATTTTCACTAATAGAAGATCAGTTTTTTTTATGATTTCAGATATTTTAACAATATTGATATATAAAAATATGGTTGTTAAAATATCTAATTTAAGACTGAATTTAAATAGTTCTTTCAATTATTTTTTCAAATCCTTAAAAAATTTATTTTTGAAAACTGATTATTTTGAAATATTGGCGTAAAAGATTTCAAAATCATTTCATGTAAAATGACTTAAAATAGAGTTTCAGTTTAAATAGGTTGCCTTGCTTATGATATCATGAATAAAACATATTGAGTTCGTTTTCAAATTCTTCATAGTTTGCAAACTCAAATACATGGATTTTTTTGAAAGCTGTAAATTATTATTTAATTCGAAATCAAAAATATTAAATTTTTCCATATTCCGTATTTTTACAAATCTATAACCTATAATCTCTTCAGACTAAGAATTTTTGGCAAGTTCGAAAATTGTAGAGTTTAAAATTTAATAGGTTTTTCATGTTACCCATTTTCCATCAATAACATGCTCTAACTAATAAAGTGTTTCATTTTCTGTAATTCTGAAATGTTCAAAAGGAAATAAATCATAAGATACTGACAGATTTTAGAAGTCAACTTTTATTGGAAATCTCAATGATCTAATTTCGAATCCAATATAAATTAAAAAGATTTCATCTTTTATTGTAACATGCAAAAAATTATGTGTAGTAGGATAATCAGGATTATAAGGTCCTACTTCTTATACATAGCATCTAATCAATTCCACATAAAATCCAAGATGTTTAAGAACATAATAAAGTAATAGTTCATGTTCATAACACATCCTTCCTCTCTTTATAATACATAATCTCTATAAGATATCAACAAATACAAGTGAAATTGGTTTCAACTCTTTTAGATGAGCATCTGCATCTTAATAAAAAGTATATATTAATTGTTTGTTTGTTAAGAGAAATAAAGTCTCAATTGAAATGGATAATTGAATATTAGCGGGAAGTCCAATACTTACTAGATAAGTGTTTAAATCTTCAGATTTATTAATACATTTTATTTATTAAAACAAATAAAAAATATTGTAATTCAATAATTTTATTGTAAAATACATTTAATTAAAAATGTCTTTCTTTCATAAATTAAATAAAAAAATAAATTACTTTTTTTAAATAAACTAAAGAAAATGTATCTTTTGTATTTTTATTTTGAAATATTCTTAGATGAATAGTTATGACTTTTTTAATTAAATGAATGAGGAAGAGAGAAAATAAAGAAATAGAAGAAAACAATTAAAATGGATCGAATTAATGATTATAAGTTATATTCAATCATCTTCAGGTTAGATATCAAATATACTCTTTTGAGGATTTCCAAATTATTATTTATAATCCTCAGAAGCACAAGTTTAGGCTATTAAAATAAGAAGCCTTTCTAATTTGATATGTAAAGGTTATTATTATCTTTACTCCCAAGTCATATCAGGAGTAGCAGGTAAAGAAACTTTTTCTGAAATTCTGGTTAATGCTTCCATAAATTCAATAAATGCCATTTAAAATATTCTATCACTTTCCAATTCATCTATTTAGAGCATCATAGATAAATTGAAAGCCTGATAATAAATAAATAATTACTAAATCAGCATCTCTATCAACAAATTTTTCATCAAATAAACCTGCGTTTCCACAAATGTCATGTAATTCATCCAAACACATAAATTTCTTTTAACCTGGTTTAACTTTTTTACTACTAAATCTATTGTACACATTATTCAAAAGTGGTTTAAAATATTTTAGACAGTCATCACATTATTCATTAAAATAACGTTCATCTCTCCATTTTTATGCATTATATTATTCCATGATAGGCCTGCATTGTTGTAGTATCATTTAAACAGATTCTAACATAGAGCTAGCCTATTTTTATTTTAAATATTTATCATCAGCCACTCTTACCAAAAATTCCATAAATTAATATCTACATAAGGCTCTTTCAGGATTACGATAATTGCCTTTATATTCAATAGATGCTGCACAAGTTGCAATAAATTTTAAATCTAAATCTGATAATTTGAATGTTTTATTATCAACTAATTCAGTAGCTGATGAAAATTCAGTAATAACATTAGATGATATTGACCAAATATCTCCAGTAGGATTATAAGATGAATACCATCTATATGTTTCTTTAATCATTTTATAATCTTTCCATAAAAGATTTTTAACTTCATTAAGTTCATCCGGGTTTTTTACAACCTTCATGATCTTACTGCAACTCCAATCTTTTTCAAAACATTTTCTTAAGAATTCTTCATTTTCAAATCGAAAATCTTTGAACCAGATAGATATTGGAAATGTCCAGATTCTTTTTTGTTTTTTTAATTTAGGAGGAATATAAAGAGGATCTGGTGTTCTAGGTAATATTGAAGTTAAGGCTTTCAATTCCTTTTTATCCATTAATTAATAGTGACGTAATTTAGTGATGATATTTATATTATCTAATTAACAAGTTATAGAATTGCCATTAACTTTTAATTTCAATAGATGACCAAAAGGAATTTAATCAAAATTATTACTTATCATTTGATTATCAATAACAGTAAACAAGAATTAAGTTTAACCTGCAGGTACCATTAAAGGAAGCTTATATGTATTATCAAGTTTCTTAGGAATATAAACTTATTTGTAATCTTCGAAATCCATGTGTAAAAACAATGGATCACATTCTCCTTCTGGAGTCCATTCATACATCTGTTCTTGCCAACCTTAACAAATCCAACAGACATTTTCATATCTAAGAGTTGTGATTTGATCTAATCCTTTAATCCTTGGAGTTTCTCCTAATGGTTTTTATTAAGAATTTTCATCTATTATAAGAAATCCTCTAGGATCTACAATACCCCAATTACCATTAAAATGAAAACCATACATAGATCTGTTGAATTTAAGACTAGCTGCTATCAACTTACAATCTTGTAATGTGAATTGATTAGCAGATAAATCACAATGCAACATAATTTTATTACTACTCAGAAATTCACAGATCTTTTAAGTAGAATTAGATTTTTCACTGATTCCAAAACAATTCCAACTTCCATCAAATACAATCATAGTTTTATTTTCAATAAGTGCTTCAAAAATCTTCTATCCTCCTATTCCTTTTATTTGGTTCTAATTTTAATATTGTTGTAATTTACCCAATGAAGATATAATTCTTCTAATAAATCCAATTATAATATAGTATCTTTAAGGACATCTGAAACTTCATTTGTTAAATAATTCTTTGATATATTGAGTGATTTAACTTTGTTTGTTGTACTCAATAAACAATTCAAAATTTTGATTACAAACTTATCACCTAATTTATTATCTTCTAAATTGAGAACTTTTATTCTATTTTTAAATTAAGTTTATTACTTATTGTCTCTTAATTATAATTGTTAACATAAACAATCTACTCCCAATTATCCAATTTCATTTTTTGATAAGTCTAACACTATAGCTTATTTTCCAATTTAATTTAAGAGAGAGACAGCTCCACTCTATTTAATTCGGTTATTACTCAAAAAGAATTCTTTGACACCTTAATTTTGTTTTAATCCTTCTGATAACATTTTAATATATTTATCACCATAATGATGGTTGTTAATTGTAACTTATGATTCATTTCCATTCATTTTAACTAATCCTAATTTACAAGGTAATGCTTCTGAACATTCTGCTTAATTGAGCATTTATGTTTATATAGAATCATTAATTTTGTGGTATTCGTTTTGTTATCTAACTTTATTGAGTACTTTAAAATGTTAAAAATAGCTTCTTGCTGATTAAGATCCCACTAATGGTTTATGTATTTAATCTTCTAATTTTTGTTCTGGAGATTCCTGTAACTATTTTATAATATCTTTCTCATTCATTTTATTATCATCCTTTTTTAATGGTTTCAAAACATCTGAACGAGGAACTCTCTAAAACATTAGTTTTTTTGATGGAGGACTATATAACTAAGGCAAAGGAGAACCTACTTTATTAGTATACACTTACAATTAAAATCAGGTGAATTAGCTATTGATAGGGTTCTTCTAATTTCTTCTGTTTCATTAGAATGCAAGCTTGTAATCTTACGTTTAGAATTCTAAATTTAAAAATTATTGGACAACCCTATATGCATAATTTATATTTTATAAAATATATATGCAAAACAGTTAATAATAGGTTAATATACCCTAGTCAAGAATGTTAGGTGATCCTGCTTAATCATAATACCTATAAAATTCAATGGCCTAAGATCCTTAATTTTTAAGTTATCAAAATTACAGAAACGAAATTCAAGAGGAAGGAGAAATTGTAGCCGAAACAGCAAAACTAAGAAAATTGTATTTTCTTATGTTACTTCAATTCATTATTGTCATTGTTTTTAGTTATGTAAACCTGCTTTTAATTTTGGTAGTTACGTTTAGAGTCATTAGAAGATTACTTTTAAAAGAATTCTTATTGGATAATTATTCTGTCAATTGGATGCTTTTTGCTTTCATTAGCTGCCTATTTTACAAACCCAGAAAATACAGCAATAAATATAGTACTTTACGTACTATTTACAATAGCTTTATATTTCTTTTTTATATCTCTAACTGCAATTACAAATATTGAATAATCTATGATGGTAGCCTTTATGATTTTGGGATAAGTAATAATTATATTGTATAATTGTCAAGATATTTTCATAATTCTTATCCGTGATGTAAAGCAGAATTGAAATGTATTATCATTAACAATCTCTCTATGTATTAGCAGGTGGACTTATCATCTTCTAATTATTTATCATTTATTCTATTATTCCATTCTTTGAGATGATTATCACTTTAGTTTCAGGAGTAGTCTTTGGGTATGCTTTTATTATTTTATAATAGATTTTTACTCATTTATAGTACTTAAAGTAATTTAAGTTAAATTAAATCAGGTGCTATAAATGGAAGTGTTAGAATCTATGTTGATTTACTAAGTGTATTCTTCCATTTGAATTCTTTAATGGCAGATTTGTTTAGAAAAGAAAAACCAATTGATAAATGAAAAATAACTATGTAATATGTTAATGTAAATAATGATCATCCAAAATAAAGTAAAACCTCTGAATTCTATCTCTCATTCTAATCCAAAAGTCTCTGTTCTTTTTTTATCTTTTCATATTAATTAATCCAAAGCTATATTATATTATTATAAAGTTACTTTTAGAACATCATTCCTCAATCTTTAGATTTATGGTATTTCTGATTCTAATGACTTAAATTCTAATTTCTTCAATTGTATACACTATTCTTCTTTATTTTAGAATTTAATGATTTCATCCCCAATTTCTACCTTTTTTGTTATTAATTTTGCTTAATCACTGGATATTTTTAGATTGGCTAGTATTTATTAGAATATTAATTTATCAACATATTAATTTTAATTGATTTAAACCAAAAGACATTAACTAATCTCTATACATGTAGGAATGTTGTTGGTTTATAGAGATAGATCAACAAAAAAGCATCCCTTTAGCAACAATACTTCGTATATTTTTCGTAAATGATTTACAGTTGTAGAACATGATTTTATTTCTCCTAATGATTTCAATATGGTGTAATAATATCTTATAATCTCAGTGTAATTTTGATTTGTAATATTTCTCAATGGTAATTATTATAAGCATTAATTTACCATTTGATATTCATTTTATAATCTCTTCAACTCATCATCATAATTGGTTGTAATTAAATTAGTTTATTTTAGGAAATACTATATATAGTAATTTACATCTTAAGGTTTATTGAGTTAATCTTTAATTAACATTATATCTTATTGCACAATCTTTGTTGTCATATAATATTAGTAAACATTTGGATTAAGTGAATTTAAGAAGTAATCAAAATTACTAAATCGTTCAAATTCTCTCTCTAATGAATCCTTATATTTCATAACTTTATTTTTCTATTCTTATAATTATTACATAACTATAGCTTTTCTATTCAACACCTTTTATTCATCTTAAGCTTTTAATTGTTTATCTTTATCTTCCTACAACACTGCCATTAGCTTTGGATTTATTTAGATCTTATCTACTTTTAACCATTATTCTTATTCATAAATCAAACCAGAAACATTTGAATTTACTCTAACAGATCCAGATGCATCTTTATAAACTTAAGCAAAATCTACTTTTGTAACTGTACTGTCATTACACTTCCACCAAGTTGTTAAATCGTTCTTGTCTAATACATAACAATAATAATGTCCACTAGTAGCTGATCCATCATGCATTAAAACTGCAGTTAATAAATAAATATTTTAATCTGACTTTAATAACTTTTTCTTCTACTCTTATATTCTTTCTAATTAATCAGTTAATAATTAAGCAGTATTCATCAATTTCTCTTTGTATGATTCTAATTAGAATAACATCTTGTCACTTGAGATAATGTTTGGATTTGCTGTGCTTTCATCACATATACAAAATCCATCAATCGTAACCAAATTATCAATTTAACCTTCATTTCTTTTGAACAATTTAATTACTTTATTAAATTTATCTTGTATCTCCTCTTTTGTATCTCCAAGACTCTTTAATTAATCTAAGATTCTTTATTCCTCCTAATCTAATTGTTATAATTCTAAATTTTTTTAACCCTCATTTATAGTTTTGAATTAATTGATATTTAAAGATGAATTGAAATTAAATTAAGTATTATTTTTACATACTTACTTTTATTTAGCATCATAATAAACTCGATTTATATAAAATGAAATTAAAAATGGGGCTTACAAAATATTTTGATCTATTTTAGCTTTAGTTTTTTCTTTGCCATCAGTTTCGTATTCATCAATAATAAGAACTCTTGTATTAATGAAACCTTTTTCTAAATCTTTATCTGAAGCTTCTATACTAATAGATCCGAAAATAGTATCATTAATTTTTAATATTTCCTTATCATTCTCTTTATAACTTAGAATTTCTTTAGCTTACCCATAGAATATATCACAAAATAGTTTTTTTTCCTATTCAAAGTTTTCTTCTTTAAATGCTTATTCAATAGCATCTAAAAAAGAATTTTAGAGTTCGTTAAAATCATTTTAGACTCCTCTTATAAACATAGCACTTGGCTTAAATTTTTAAAGACCATCCAATAAATTATAAGGATTTGTATATGATTGATTGGATTCTTATAACATGAGAAAGAGCTATTATAATTGTAATAGAAAATTAGAAACAGCGGATTGAGTGTTTTTATTTAAGTCTAGTTCTAAAATCAATTTTCTAAATGGTAAGACATTGAAAAGACTCTGTAACATGGCATTCATGTAACAAGCTAAAAAGTAATAAATTTAAAAGATTTATACTATTGCCTAGATTTTTAAGTCCCACAGGAATAGTTTTATTGGATCTTTCACTTTAAATAATTGGTTTTTACCTATGAATATTAGGGAATATATAATACTCAGCATTTTAATCCAAGGAAAGTTGCATAGCAATTTTTAAATCTTACTATTCAATTTATTGAAGTTGTAATTTGAGTTACATTTGTGAATTGAATAAATCATCTTCATTCATAATCTAAGCATTTTCTTATTCACTAAAAGTATAAATAGATTTTATGATTACCTAATTTTAATTAGTTCATCATGGAATGTTTATTAATTGAATCCACATTATTACCATGCTTTAAGAATGTGTGCCTTTTTGAATCCAATAGAAGTATATTATTACAATAATTGATCGAATGTAAGAGATGTAAGTTTAAAGCTACGATTTAATTGTTTATTTGTTCCCATATAGATTATTAAATTTAATATGTAATAACAATCGACATAATAACAATAAAGATAAGATACGGTTGTATTAAAAGAAAGAGAAGAAAGGAGATTTGAAGAATTTTTTAATAAATTTTCAAGAAATGGAACTTCTTTAAATTTTGCCGATATTTTGATGTTTGCATTAGATAGAAGTCTTGTTACGAATGGTAATAATTTTAGTATGTTTTTGACACATTTTGATGATGCATTGGGTGATTCTAAAGGAGAGAGAGCATTGAATAAACCATAATTTTATTTTTTTCTGAAGTAACTGGCAAAGAAAATATTTCATAATGATCCTTTACATTTAGAGAAGATGTTGAATGAAATATTATCTGAAAAAAGTACAGTGAGGGATAATAATGTCGAGCCAAATCGAATAATTGTACTTGATGAAACAAATAAAAGATTATTAGCTGAATCAACTATTTAAGCAATATCATAATATGAAAGAGAAATGAAAAATATATTTACAATCTATATGCAAGAGAATTTATCAAGAGGTATAATAATGTTGAGATGGAAAGAGATTTAGGTTTAGAATAAAAAGATGAATATGGTATCATTAATAAGATTTTTAAGAGATGCAGAAATTGTACCTCATATACTTTCTATTGAATAATTAGAAGAAATACTTATTAAGATTATTCCACCTATAAATAATAAAGAATATGATTTTTTTTAAAAAGGTCATTTCATTTAAATTTATGAAAAAAATTTAACAGAATGCAATGATACAGATCCATAAATTTTAATTCATGAACTTTAATTACTATTAGCTAGAATTTCATTTGAATTAGGACTCAAAGAAGAAGGAGGAGGTAATTAAAATAATAGAAAATTGGATGTTGATAAATATATTCGAAAATTCTTTGGTGAATTAATGCTATTTAGAAAGAATGAAAATATAGAAGGCCCACTTCAAAATTTAAATAGAAAAATAATTAAAAATTTAGAGAAGTTTACAAATCAACTACTTAATGATTTAAGTGATTTTGAAGAAAAGGATTCTTCAGATGATGAACAAGATGGAACAGATGAATTATAAAGAATTGCTGCTTTATAAGGATCTTTATTATTTGAGTAAGGTAACTAATTATTATAATTATAAGTGTCACTTAACATTCCTGTTGATTAGGTTATTAAAATGTTAGATAAAGAACTACCTTAAATTCCTCCATTACCATAATAAGAAAAGCAAATGCCAAAATGGGATCCTGAGAAGAGAGTAACTATTGGAAATCCAAAACCAGAGTCTCCAAAAAATAAAAATCCTAAACCTAAAGCTGCTAAAAAATAACAATAAAGAAGAAAAGCTGGTGAGCCAGAACCAAGAAAAATAATATTTGAATAAAAAACAGAACCAAAATAATCAGAACAATATATTTAGGAATTAGCTGATAAATTGAAATTTGAATAAAAACTTATTTCAGATGTTGAAAGAGGCTCACTCTCAGATGTTTAAGTTGCTCCTGTACTTATACCAGAAGTGTTATACCCTCCAAATCCACCATTAGATGTACAATTTTTGGTTGAAGCAGCCATAAATTCTCATAATGAAGCTAACTTTGTATTTGCCATATAGAATTATGATGATGCGAGAGTAAAAATCATTTTAGTATTCTAGAAAAAATGGATTTCTTTAACTGGAAGAGACTTAACTGATGGATTAGAATTATATTTTGAATTTAGTAAAGCTACTGTTTATGAATCTGCTGGAAGAGATGATCTAGCATTAATTGCCTATTTAAATGCTAGACAATTTTCAACCAAATTACCAACAAACAATCCTGACAAAGCATTATCTTATTGTGGACTTGGATCTGTCTTTTATAATACAGAAGAGTATGATTGGGCACTTAGATCATTTTTAAAAGTAATAATCTTTTTCCATTTAAAATAGGCCAGAGAATACAGAGAAAACAGTATTGGAGTTGAAACAGTAGATACAGCTACTGTTTACAATAATTTAGGTTGCTGTATGTATATGTTAGAACGAAATAAAGAGGTAATTTATACTCTTTTTATGTTTATAGTCATATGGTTATTTTAAATTAGCACATGCAATATTGGAATCTTAGTTAGGATAATTTCATCCAAGAACTTTAACTGCTGCAAGAAACATTAACAAATCTAAAAATTGTTGGTTTGAAAATAAACCAGAATTTCCTAAATTATGGGTTGAATATGCATAAGATCCTTTTGCTGGAGGAAAAAAGAAGAAAAAAAAGAAGGGAAAGAAATGATATCTCATTTAACTAAAGTTATTTTTCTTATAAAAATAGATTAATAATACTTTTTTTAGATTTAATATTATTAAAAATTTAATTGAATGGCTTTGAAATCTGCTGCATTATTTGAAAAGATGGATCCATTCATCAAAAGTTAAGGGGTTGAATTAGTTAAAAAAATCAATGCTGTTTATTATTTTGAAGTCTCTAAAGCAAAAGGAGAAACTCCAGAAGTTTGGACAGTTGATCTTAAAAATGGAACAGGAGTAAGTCTTATTAATTAAATTCAAAGTCAATCTCTAAAGGAAAGGTTGGAACAGCTGATGCCACATTTACTATGGTAGATGATGATATGATTGCTATGGCTTAAGGAAAGTTAAATCCTTAATAGGCTTTTATGCAAGGAAAAATGAAAATCAAAGGAAATATGGCCGCTGCAACTAAATTTACCCCAGATCTATTGCCAAAGGATGCAAAACTTTGAGTTAAATATTAAGATTCATATCATAATATCACATTTGATTTTTCCGTCTTTATAAATTACACCATCATTCCATTTAATTCTCCTTCGCAAAGTTCTTTATTTCCAAACCACTTCAAAGATTTATGTTAATCTATTTCAATTTATTTTGGAGCTTTATTTAATAATTATTAAAACTTATTGACTTTTGTTTCCTAATGGAAACTTATTTCAAAAATATCCTAATTAATATTTTTTTTAATTGGACTTCTATTTCGGTTATTAGGAGATATTTTCTTGTATTTTGGATTATTCTGTATCATAAAGGGTCGTTTTTGTATTTACTATTATTCAAATTGAGGTAGAATAGGCTTTTGATTTTTCTTTTTACTTGGTTTCACATTTATGAATTTGGTATCTACTTAAAAATTTAGAATAGATTTTATTTCTCTTTATGGTTATTCTATTTATTTTTTATGCAATTATATTTTTCCTTATTCTCTAAATGAACAAGGTTATTTTGCAGACTTAGACAATTAAGCAGGTATCTCTATTTATTATTTTGAATTTTGGTCTATTTCAAACTGCTACAACTATCTTGTTTATTGAGGAGGAGTTTGATTAAGTTGATTTCTTTTTATATCATTCTATTTCAGATTCACAGGATATGTAAACTTATACTTGGATTCTAAATTCTTAATGTACTATTTAATATACCTCAAAATTGAAAGTGCTTAATGAGGATCTTTAAGGAATTGTGGTAAATTTTTATTCTTCAATTTAGAATTCATCTGGACACTGTGAAAAATTCATATTTTATTATAAATATATAATCTTATTATTTATATGAAGTTTTTTTATGATCAGATCTATTCATGAAAATGGATTTAAAAGCTTATTATTTGAGAATAAGGCACACATATATGAGAATGCTTTTAATTGCTATTATTTATGAAATAATTAAAAAAGATTGTTTTTTAAAAATAATTTTAAAAATGCCAAAGGGATAAACAACAAATACATAAAAAGCATAGAAAGCAGCTAAAAATGCCAAAGTTGCCAAAAAGGTAGTGAGAGCTAGAAAGCATTTCTAAAATAGATTCCATACAGAAAAGCCTTTAGCTTTATCTAGAAAACCCAAATTCACAAGGTTAGGCAATAATCTAATAATTCATAGATTAACAAGATAACTTACTCCTATTTCTAAAGGATTAGATTTCTAAAATGTACTTAGACACCCACTTATTACAGAAAAAGACATGAAAAAAATGGAAGATGAAAACACAATGGTGTTCTATGTTAATTAAAAATCAACAAAGCCTTAAATTAAAAGAGCATTTTAGAAAATCTATGATGTTAAAGTCAGAAAAGTTAATGTAATAACGCTTTATATTTTAAGATCCTTAACACTTTTGGTGGTAAGAAGAAGGCCTATATCAGATTAGGTGGAGATAATGATGCTCTCAACTTGGCTAACAAAATCGGAATTATTTGAGCTCACAAAATATTTATCAAGTACAATAATAATATACATTTATATCATTAACTATTTTCTTTAATTATATTCATGGGCTAAGTTTAACAGTCTAAGAAACAATTTTTAAAAAATTGGCAAAAACTGGATTAATATCAAAGCAAAATGTAATTTTGAGTTTTAATTTAGTTTTGGAAATGTAATTGAAGTCTATTAAGATTAATAGGAGTAAGTTGCAGTTATACATAAACTATTTTAAAATGATGAATAATATCAAAATGAGTTAAAGGAATTACAATCATATTAATAATTATCGAATATACCTGGATTGATTAGATTGTTAGAAATTCATAAATAAGAAGAAAAATATCTTTGCAGCAACTTTTATAAAATTGATGCCATCTATGAATATGGAGATTAATTCACATTTCAAATACCATTGTATTAATTTATTCAGCAAGTGATGCACACATTAATTGAGTTATAAAATAGAAACAAATATCATGGCGATTTAATACCTTCCTCGTTTATTTTTAAAAATTAAGTCAAAGTTTTTCTCCCTAGAGTTAATCATTACACTCGACTCTTAAATGGTAACTAAGAGGATTGCTATTTATCTCCAGAATTATTAGAATATTTAGGAAGAAGATCTTACCATTTTTAATATCATAAGGAAAAAAGTGAAATATTTTCTATTGGTCTTATTACTTTAGAGTTGATCTTGTAATAATCAATTTAAAAAATTTACAATTTTTCTACCTATTAAATTAACAAGGGTAATTAAAGAGACTAATTTAGATATATTGAATAATTTCCTTCAAAGAGCAGACAATAAATTAATCAGTAAAATGCTGGAGTTATAACCTGATAAAAGACCAAATTATCTTTCAATTTATGAAGAAAGCTTAGTTGAAATGATGCAGCAATCTGCTATTAAAATAGAATATTAAGAATAAATTTAAATAAATTAAATATCTAATCAATAATTCTAAGACATACTATCGATTCATTAATCAAAAATTTTGCATATTGAAACTTAAGCAGTCTAATCAATCAATAATTTTAATTAAACCAATCCAACTTAAAGATCTGTATCAAATCTTATGGATAACAGAAGAATAAAATCTATATCACAATCTAAATAAAATCCAAAAAAAAAAGTAAAAAAGGTTCATCCACAAATAATTGAAAGAAGTCCTCGTAATATTATTAAAATAAACTCAAAAAAACAATCTAGTCATCTTTTTAACTTGGAGCAATTAAAATAACCAGAAACAAATATTAATAAATTGAATTAGAATACAAATATTAATCTAAGTTAAGTCTAATAATTTAATTCCTCTTTATAATAAAATGATCCTTTATTATCACCTAATAATAGATATTCATATAAAAAATCTCATTAATCTTCAGCAATAAAACACTAATCAGTTTAACAAAATGAATATGCTTTTTTGCATGATTAAATTCATGTGCCATTCAATCCAGGATCTAATTTTTTAGATTTCTCAAGTTAATAAGAAATATTTGAGATCAAAACACCTAATATTTAAAGACAAACATCAAAATTCAAAGATATTTCAAAGAAATAACCTTAAATCAGTTTATAAAACATGAAACATAATTATAAAGAGTCTATATAGAGGAAACCTGATTTACTAAAAAGTTAAAGACCTAGCCCAAAATCTCCAATTGAACAAAGAATTCAAGGAAAATATTATAAGAAAATGTGATTTAATTAATAAAAATTTAAATAAAAATTATAAGATTTAATTATGAACGTCGGTACTCATGTTAGTGATGATTGTGTTACAGAATTTAATAAACTCAAACTTGGTAAACAATATAGATATTTGACCTTTAAATTAAACAATGAAACAAATGAAGTAGTTATCATAATTTATTTTTAGATTGTTGTTGACCATGTTGGAGCAAGAGATAGCAGTTATGCTGAATTCGTCGGTCATCTCCAAAATGAAGTATAAATAACTTCTAATTTTTTTTTTAGTCAAGATATGCAGTTTACGATTATCATGCATAAACTGATGACGTTCCACCAAGATAAGTTGAGAAATTAGTCTTCATATTTTGGTCTCCAGATGCAAATCAACCAGTTAAATAAAAGATGCAATATGCCGCAGCAAAAGAAGCTTTAAAGAAGAAATTGAGTGGTTTCTCTAAAGAAATATAAGCTAATGATCCATCTGAAATAGAAGAAGCAGAAATGCATAAATTAGTATTGAATTGAATAATAATAATCAAATATAAAATTTAAACTAACCATTCTTCTTTATGGACTTTTTATTCATTCTATATTTTCTTAGAAATATTCGTAATATTTCCAATAACATTTAACTGGATTAATATTCAATATATATTTCAACTATTATATAGAACTCTAATTATTTTATTATAATATTAATCAACCATCATAAATAATTTTATCAAATATCAACTCTATTCTCTTAAATACTTAAATCATTAAATGAAGCTTCTTTTAAAGATGATTCTTTTTATAATTTATTATTTTCATGTTGATCTAAAATAAATTAAATATCTTTATCTAATAAATTCATTATTGTTTTGTTTTCATGTTTTTTATTATTATTTTCTTTTATTACATTATAAGAATTTAAGGCTTATGTTATTTCCTCTTCAAATGATAACTTATTTTAATTATACAAATTTTAATTACAACTCATATTTTCTCTTTAGTCTAGTTAAATGATCGGCTTATGTATGTAATTAAACAAAATTTATTAATCATCATTTAACAATATTTTCTTCAATTTATCAATTTCAATTAATTTATTAAAAATAAAGATAATATCAATTTAATTGTAAATAGATTCAATACTTTATTAAATTAATTGTCTATCTTTACCACAAGTGAATAAATATTAATGAACAAATAATTTAATTTATTAGGCTTTTAATTTAAAGAATTTTTTTAGTTGTGCAAATTAACTTTAATTAACAAGTCCTTCAACTTATCCTAACCCTATAAACGGTTAAGGGTATAATTTCTATTAATTATTTGATTGTTCAAAATAAAATATTTTAGATGCAAGAAATAAATCACAAGAAAGTTTATTGAAAGGTTTGACAAATAACCCAACCAATAATAGCATTAATTCTAATAATCCTCCCATTTAACCCAAAATATCCAAAATATTATTATAGGTTCTATAATATAATACTTCTCTGTCATCTAGAATAACGTGGATAACAACTAATTCCTCTTTTTATGTATTCAACACCCATTCTGATTATCTATCAAACAATAAAGCGCTATATTCAGCATTATTCTCAAAATAATAAAAAAAGTTTTCTTTATTATAAAGTTTCGATTTTCTCATCTACAATATCATAGATTTGTATTAATATGACGAAATAGTTGTTGTTATCAATTTTGAGACTAAAGAAAATGGATTTTAAGCTTTCTTTTAGTTTAGCACTGAATCTGAAATAAAAAATCCTAAGTATCCTGAACTTAATTTTTGATCAATAAATTCTTAAGATGCACAATCTAAATAAAATAAAAAATTTACTTCCTCCTGATGTGATATTATTGCATTTTTCAATATTAAATTTAAGACCCTTAAAATCGAGGCTTTAAGAAGTTCCTTAAAGGGATAATTCTATTGTATTCCACTCATCTGGATCAAAGCAAAGACTTGCTTTTAACACTGCTGCTGAAATATTCAGTTTTTCTAAAATTTAACTGTTGATCGACATCGTGTCGCATTTTTTCATTAAAAAAGTGGAACAATCAGATTGGAATGAATTTTTTTCATTTACTTTTCTTTAACAAAAAGAAAATTTTGACTAATAGATTAATTAATTATCTTCTTAAGTTATTGGCCTTCCAAATTCATCTGTTATAGCAAGATAAAAAAGAAAAGAATCTTAGTTTAATTTATATTCCTTATTCTATCATAAATTAATATTACCTCTGGATTTGCTTAATATTCAATATTCTAAAGGACACTTGGATTTGTGCGATTTATCATATCAATAAGTAAGGATAAGAAAGAATAGAAAATTAAAGTTAATATTCCAATACTCGATAGGATTCCCAAAAAAGTATGATATTCATTATCCTTTTTTATTTATAATTCAATAGGATGTCCAAATAAATCAAAAGATTTAATAGAGTTTTTGATCATATTTAGAAAAGAATGATAAAATTTCATCTATATATTATTCAAGGAAAATATTTATAATTAATTAAGATTTGTTCCTTATGAATTAATTTCACATCAAAAATTTCTAATTTCTCTATTTAATATTAATTAAAAGATTTTATTTTTTGTTTAGTATAAAATTTTTTTATATTATAATAAATTAAAATTATTTAAATTAACTTAATTAGATTGATAACTACTTAAAAAAGACCCTCTTTAAAAATTATTGATTTTAATATTAAAATAATGATAATTAACATTATATAATCAAATATCAACTCTGTTTTCTTAAAGACTCAAATCGTTTACTGAATTTATTTACTAGATCTATAAAATTGAAGTTTGTTTTTATAGTTTTTAATTATCATTATTTTCAAAAATTAGTTTAACATCTCTATCCAAGAGACTTATTATGCTTTGATTTATTTTTTTAGACTTTTAATGATTGTTTTCCTTAATCATATTGTAGGAATTGAATGCTTATAGTATTTCTTCTTCAAAAGAAAGCTTACTAGTATCATAATAATTTTAATTGATGCTTGCTTTCATTTTTTCTCTGATTCCTAATTAAATTTTAGGTTTATGGATATAATTAAACAATATTTGTTAATCATCATTTAATAATATTTTCTTCAACTTATCTATTTCTATTAATTTATTAATAATATAGATTATATCAATTTAATCGTAAATAGATACAATGCTTTATTAAATTAATTGTCTATCTTTACCACAAGTGAATAAATATTAATGAACAAATAATTTAATTTATTATGCTTTTAATTTAAAGAACTTTTTTAGTTGTGCAAATTAACTTTAATTAACAAGTCCTTCAACTTATCCTAATACTTGAACTTAAGGATGTATTTTTTACTAACTATTTGATTTTTCAAAATAAAAAATTTCTGATGCTAAAAATAAATCACATGATAGTTTGTTGAAAGGCTTAACAATAGTTCCTGCCAAAAATAACATTAATTCTAATAAACCTCCCATTTACCCTAAGATATCCAAAATATTATTGTAGGTTCTATAATATAATGCTTCTCTGTCATCTAAATATAAAGTTATATCAATCAGTGAATTTTACTAAATATTGAATGCCTATTCAGATTATCTATCAAACAATAAAGCACTATATTCAGCGTTATTCTCAAAATAATAGAAAAAGTTTTCCTTATCATAAAGTTTTGATTTTCTCATCCACAATGTCATAGATTTGTATTAATATGAAGAAATAGTTGTTGTTATCAATTTAGAGACTAAAGAAAATGGATTATTGGCTTTCTATTGATTTAAAACTGAATCAGAGATAAAAAAACCTAAATATCCTTGGCTTAATTTTTTATTAATATATTCTAATGGTGCACAATCTATATAGAATTAAATTAATACTTCCTTCTGATGTAAAATTATTGCATTTTTCAATTTTAAATTAAAGGCTTTTAAAAACAGGACTCTGTGGAGTTCCTTATAATGCTAAAGATATTGAATTCCAGTCTTTTGGATCAAAACAGAAACTTGAAAATAATAAAGCTTTTGAAATATTTAGTTATTCTTATATCTATGTGTTTATTTGAATTGTTGCACAGGATTTTAAAGTAAAATTTGTACAATTGTTGTTAATTGAGTTAGTTTGATCAGTTATTCTTGAACATGCTTGCATAGAAGCTGTAAAAATTTGTGAATCAGTTTTCTAAATTATTGGAATTCCATAACTATCAGACAAAACTAGATAAAAGAGGAAGGAGTTTTACTCTAATAGGAATTCCTATGTTGCAATAGACAAAATTATATTACTTCTGGATTAGCTTAATATTAAATATTCTAAAGAACATTTGGACTTTTACGATCTATCATATCAATTACTAAGGATAAGAAAGAATAGTAAATTAATGCTAAGATTCCAATACTCATTAGAACTCCAAAAGCAGTATGATATTCATTTTCTTTTTTGATTTATAAGTTAATTTGAGATCCAAACATATCTATTGATACGAGTAATTTCTTTAAGTTCTTCACAAATAAATTACAAAACTTCATAATTTTTCAACTGCCTGCAAATATAAATAATATTATAACTTTAATTCGTATTCCAGCTAACTTGATTTGAATAAAAATATATATCTTATATTATAATAATGATAAAATAATAGAATAAGATGGGAGAAAAGTCCAGAAATAAAAAATGGAATGTCATGATGAAAAATGTTTAAGTTAGTTAAATTATTTTGATAGGTAATAATTTACGTCACAATAAAATAGAATTTGTAGAGATAAGAAGTAATTAAAAAAATGAATTACAATGATTGCATATTAAAATAAAAAATGACGGCATATTAATTATAATAATATGTAGAGATTGAATTAGGTGGCTGGATAATTTAAGGAAGTGAAGTTCTTAGCAGATCCACTTGAATATCTTAGATTGTATGACATGCTGGATAATGAGGAGAAAGAGATTTGTTTGGCTGTTCGTAAATTTGCATAGGAGAAAGTATTTAAAATTGAATAATTAAGGCTGCACCAACTATAAATAAGTATGTGGAAGCAGCAGAATTTCCTACAGAAATAGTTGAAGCTTTAAAACCATTAAAACTGATTCATAAGACAAATACTTATGTCAAGACAGGTTTGGCATATTTAGAATTAGCAAAAGTTGATGCTGGTTTATCGACATTTTATTTATTGATGTAAGAAAGAGAATAATAATTAGTTCATCATTGGTGCCACACAGTATTGAGACATTTGGTTCGGAAGAATAAAAAAAGAAATACTTAACAAGGATTAAGGATATGGATATTCTTGGTGGATGGGCATTAACAGAGAAGGAGTATGGATCAGATGCATCCAGTATACAAACAACTGTGAAAAAGGTGTAAGGTGGTTATCTATTGAATGGTAATAAGAGGTGGATAGGAAACGGAAATAAAGATATATTAGTAGTATGGGCAAGAAACAGTGAAAATAAGAATATTGAAGGATTTATTGTTGAGAATAAATGGGCAGGAGTTCATGCAGAACCTATTAAGCATAAGTTAGCATTGAGGATAGTTCAAAATTGTCAAATAACATTTAAGGATGTTTTTATACCAGATGAAAACAAAATGCCAAAAGCTAAAGACTTTTTAAATGGAGTAACATAAGCATTGTAACATTCGAGAGTAGGAGTTCCTTGGATAGCTTTAGGAATATAAGCAGGAGTATATGAGAATGTAGTAAAGTTTGTAACAAGAAGAAAATAATTTGGAAAACATATTGCTGGTTTCTAATTATAGTAAGAGAGACTAACAAGAATATTGACAACATTTTAAGCAAGTTTTCTAATGGTGTTGTAGGTTTCAAGGATGGCCTAAGAGAAAAAGGCAAGTTTGGGATAGATTGCTGCAGTGAAAGCATGGGTTAGTGATAAAACAAGAGAGGTAGCAAGATTAGGAAGAGAAATGATGGGAGGAGATGGAATTTTAGTTGAAAATTATTGTATTAAAGCATTGACAGATGCTGAAGTAGTTTACACTTATGAAGTAATTAATAATATAAAAATTTGATAGGGGTCTTATGATATTAATAGTTTGATTGCTGGAAGGGAAATTACAGGATTAGCTGCATTCAAATGAAGTCTGATTTAGAACAAACATTATATATAAATAATTTTAAGTTTCTAAAGGAAAGTAATAAAATCTCATTAAATAATGAATAAAAAGACTAAAACACCATAACAATAATCTCAAGCGTAAAATCAGCAAATAAATCAGCCTTCTCCGATGATGCAACCAATGTCTTTACAATCTGGACCATCTCCCTCTCAACCGGACACTTCAGTTTTGGATGAATCTGGAGGAGAGAGTGTAAAAGTTGCATTGCGAATTAGACCAATGAATTAATTGGAACAAGGAAGAGGAGATGAATAATGTATAAAAGCTATATCAGATTCTAATTGTTAACTCTATTATAAGTAATTCATGAACTTAATTAGTAAAGAGGAGTGGCTAAATAATTTCGATTCAACGCTGTTTTAGATGAAAGGTGTACCTAATAGGAAGTGTTTATGAAATGCAACATCTAAGAGTTACTAGATGCAGCCTTGGATGGATATTCAGCTACTATTTTTGCTTATGGGCAAACCGGGTCAGGTAAAACTTATACGTAAATTTTCAATTTTAACATTCAAGCATTTCTGGAGTTGAAGAACGTTTGGCTAGAGAAAAATACATTTCTGATGATTCAGAAGGAATTATTCCCAGAGCCACTAGATATTTGTGGTAGATTATGGCATAACGAGCAGAGCAGTTCTATGTGAAAGCCTCTTTTACCGAAATCTATAATGAATAATTGAGAGATCTTCTTAATCCTGCTTCAGGAATCTTACATTGTAGATGGAATCTGCAAAATGGATTCTTTGTTGAAGATTTAATGATTGTTGAATGCACTTCCTATTCTGACATTCAAGCTGTACTCCATGAAGGAATGAGAAATAGAAAGTAAGGATCTCATGAATTAAACAAAGATTCAAGTAGATCTCATTCCATTTTGACAGCATATTTAATTGGAGAGTAAAATATTGATGGATAAATTGTTAAAGTATTATTTATTTAAATTCTTATAGAGATATGGAAAATTCTCATTTGTGGATTTGGCTGGGTCTGAAAGATTGAAAGAATCAAAATCTCAAGGAGATATGATTAAAGAAACAGGAAATATCAATAAATCTTTATTTACTTTAGGAAAAGTCATCAAATCTCTTAGTGATAAAAAAAACAAATTACCTTACATTCCCTATAGAGACAGCAAATTAACTATGCTCTTAATGGACTCTTTGGGGTATTTCTTTTTTTTATTCTTTAGAGGTACTGCTAAGGCTTTAATGATTGCTTGTGTCTCTCCATCTGCTGCTTATTATGAAGAAACATTGAGTACCATCAATTATGCCACTTCAACTATGAATATTTAAAATAAACCTGTCATTTCTATGGGAGAAAAAGATCAGATTATTTACAATCTTACGAGGGAAAGAGATTTACTGAAAATGGAAAATCAATATCTAAGAGAACAATTATAAAGGTATTCCTCATTCTTATTTAGGTATACTAATGGATTACCCATAGAAATACCTAATTTTAATGATAAAAATGGTTAAAAAAAATAACTTCCACCCTTACCATCCAGACCCATAAGTCATAATCAAATTCTTAATAGTTAACAAAATGGATTTGATCAATAAGTAAATCCTAATAATAGTAAAATTGATTTACCTGTTAACAAAATTTTACACGAATATTAAATGGAGATTAATAAATTAAAATAAGAAAATGATGAATTGAGAAATGCACGTGATGTTTCTGTCAAGAATTATCATATTGTAATGAATGAGAATAATGCTTTGTAACTGAAACTAGAAAATTTAGAATAGATTTTTATTGGCAATCCAATTACTAAAGGTGATCATGATAAATCGAAAATTTAAGAAGAATATATGTCAAGTGCATTATTGATTGAAAATAGTGATTTAAAAAAAAAAGTGGCATCATTAGAAGAGAAAAATATGGAGCTAGCTCAAGTATGAAAATTTTACATTATTGTAGATTGCTAGAAAAAATCTTAGTGGAAAGAGTAGTGATCCTAACGATTTACATGAAATAGTTTAATTGAAATAAACAAATAATTAGTTATAACAACGTGTAGAATTTTTATAAGCTAGAGAAAGAGATTTACTTGAATAAATAATGAGATTATAAAGACAACCTAAAGCTTATGCAGGATTTTGATAATAAATTATAATTTTATATTTCAAATACTACAAAATTTGGATTGAAAACTCACAATTTTCGATAATGATGCATACAATTATCTGATAAATTATCACTCCCTATTACTTATGATTTATTGAATCTCTATTTTTAAAGTCTATTTATGATCAAATAAAATTTATTCTTAATGAATAATAAATTGTCATCATTTTTAAATCACGTTTTATTTCCTCAAAACGTAAAATGAGGTTGAAAATAAAGAAAGTCAATATGGATAAATTTTTCTATCTGCATAACTGGTGGAAAAGAGGAATTTTATTTCTGAAATGAATATTAAATAAATAAGATTCAATATTTATCAAGTGTATTTAATTTTGTTTTCATTGATGGACAAGAAGTTCAAACGATTCTTCCTGATATTAAATAGAAAGAGATTTCACAATTGGTGAAAATCCAGCTGAATCTAAATTTGAAAGATGGTCACTTTCTTAATCAGATTCCTAAATTATAAAATATATTTACAGAAGTGAATCCCTCTTAATCGAAAGGATTCAGAACATTTTGAAGTTTTATCTTTTTTATCTTATCTAATAAATCATTATAAAATATACCTAAATTGATGGACTCATCATCAGAAAGGTCATATAATGATTATATTCGAATAACTTACAATAATTGGGAGTTAAACGAAAATATAATACTCTGGGATTAGTACCGAATTTAAATAACTCTATTGTCACTATCCTCCCAATTAACTTAATGTCCTTATGTTATTATTGCTTTGAACTCAATTAGTTAGTCTATATTAATATACTAAATTACTTTCATTCACATCAACAGATATGTTACCAACCCAAAATGGATAAATATCAGGGTTTGTAGATAATTAAAGGCTATTTGAAGGGTTCCATAACCCTAACTCCTTAACACTTCCAACAATGCACACAGACTCACATAGAGTAGTTTCACATCTGACTTTAAAATTCAATTTAATTGCCATTAAACTGAGATTTTTGAGAATTATTGATGTATTATTTTTAATATTTAAATCGTAAATCTAATCCTTAAGAAATAGCGATTTTTTCTAATATTTATTAAAAAAAACTTATAAATTAATTAGAAAGTGCAAATCGAAATCTCTTTCGAATAATTTACTTGATTAAAAATATGTATTTCACTTACAAGAAAGATTATTATCATCCTGCTTCCTTGTTTTTTTATTCAATCAAACTTTTTAAAAAAAAAATGAAAAATGAGTAATTTCTTTAAAAAAAAATGATAATTTAAACATTAAGATTATAAAATTTCTTAAATGTCAACTGTTATCTTTTCAATAATTGAGATGAAACTTTCTAGTTAATAGATACATGGTTATATCTTGGTTTGCCTTTATAATAATTAAAATTTAGGAGAAAAACTTTATGATTGTTATATTATTTTTCAAAAAAAAAAATATAATATCAAAAAATTTGTATGATTTAAACATAATTATTACATAATTAACAATTTTTTCATTTGATCAATTACTGAAAATATTCATTTGTCTTAAACAAAATATCAAATCTCATTCCCTTTTTTTAATGAATGTAATCAAATAATTTAATAAATTCAGCCCAACAATCTATATAATGCTATAAATTATGAGAGGTCATAAATTCTTATTTAGATTTCTTTTTTTTCAAAAATTAATAAAACTCTTCATTATAGTTATATTTTTTATAAAATGGGTTTTATTATCCAATATTTATAAATTATTCAATAAGGTTCCGTTAATTAATTTCAAAATATAGCCCTATTAATAGAGCGTCATATTATTAACCATAATTTTTGCTTATACAGCTGATAAAATCTCCAAAATAATCCAATTAACCTTATTTAGAAACACTATTAATTACAAAAAATCTCAATAGTAATAAGATTTTTTCATCATCCTCTTAATAATGCTCTGACAAACTATTTAATTATTTCGTTAATAAGTTTTCCCTTTTATCAGCAAAAGTTATAAGAATTTCCTCATCCTTTTCATTTTGAGGATTATAAAATTACCCAAATAAAATAGGTTTGTATTAAGTTTCCAATAATTTAAGATAAATGAAAAAAGGAATGAAATATTGAGGTTTAACATAAGATAAGGCAGATGCATATAAAGAACCTTTTTAATTTTCTAAATCAATTAAACCCTGTAAATGCAAAAACCTCAAATTTAAATTTAATTAAATAAGATCACAATTTATTTGTTATGATTGCTCTCCAAGTTCAAATGAAGATTTTCTTGAAGTTAATTTTAATGTCTTATAATAAAAATGAATTGAACGCATTAAAGTAGGGTTTTTGATAGACTCTTTAAACAAATTAAAAGAAGTATTTAATTTAATTTGATTTTTTCCTTGATAATATCCAATATTTAATTTTTCGAAAGCTAATTAAGAAGGCTCAATAAACTCATATTCTTAAAATTCAAAAGGCTAGAGTAATGACTGTTCTTTTTAGAATAATCCTATTCCATTACTCTGAAAGACCAAAATTTCTGTTGGAAATTAAATACCACTGGCAGATACAGTTTATAACCTTAATTCATCAAAATTTATATCAATGTAAGGAGAATCTTTGATTTATTGCATAAATTAAGTTATCTTATTTGAATCAACAAGATAATTTGCAAATTTTTATACTCTTTATTATAAAGTGAGTTTTCCAGCAAAGAATTATTATCCAATATTGTAAAGAACATTAAATTAATCAGATCTTGACAATTCTTAAAAAGGTTTTGTAAATTTAGTATTACTAAATTAATTGAGAATTTGGTCATTATAACCAATGCATTCATTTCGAGTGCAATAATCATGTAATTAATATAATTCTGCGAGAGAATCTAAACTTAATTAAGATTTAGCTGTTAGTAGTTTAATGTCGATCCATTCAAAAGACTTATCAAAAATATTTAGAATCAAATAATTTATTTCTTTGAAACTAAAGCATTTCTCCAAAAAAGAGATTTCTGCTAAGATTCTAAATCATTTATTCGAACAATATACCCACTTATATAATTATTAGTGAAGAGATAGCGAATTTAACTTCCAGCATCTGGAACCACCAAAAATTGAATTTGTAATTCTCTAAGCCAATCTATAATTATTCTTTTTGGTAAGATAATATCCATAACAGCATCGTTGTAGATTAATTCACGAAATTAAGCTCTAAAATTATGATAGTATGATTATTTTACTTATTTTTTTCAAATTAGCATTTTATTATTAATTTTGGATTTATTCTCTAATGGGTTTATGATGACATAATAACTATTGGTGTAATGTTGTGTTCTTTTATCATTTAAAAAAAGTTAGCCATATTTAACTTTAATTCATCATAGTTGATGTCAAAGAGACTTGGAAATTTAATTACTTAATGAAACAAATAATCTTAATGTATCCCTAAATAACATCCACTTAAAGTTTGCAATTGGCTAGAATCAAATATTCAATTTACTCTCTCTAGATAATATCAAATACTTCCATTATGTGTCTAAGCTTTTGGTTGAGTCTATAAATATTCATTATTAAAATAATATATAAATTATAAAATTATAGCTACTATTTTTTATTCTTAATTCCATAGTAGCTTTTAAAAGAATCGAATCTTATAATTATAAATAGCTAATTAAAAAAGAATCTCTCTTATTACTGTTGATAATAAAACTTGGAAATTATTAGTTAGTTTTTATACTAAATAGCAAAATGATTAATATAATTTATGTAGTATCCCTGACTAATCGATCTTAATCTAAAATAGTTTCATACTGCAAGGTACGAAAAATAAAGATTGCAAAAGTAGAATCTAGAAAAGATGTTTATATCTCATATATAGTAATAAGAAATAATTTAAAGAAAAAACTAGCATTCGATATGAATATTATCTAATTATCTGCTTAATCTTTCTTGGTAATATATTCAAATAGAGAATTGTAAATGTGAGAATAAATTCATTTTACAAAAACAGCGGAAATGAATTCAATCTATCTGATTAGTCAAATAAATAAGTTATTTGGGTAATTCATCAATGAAAGTTATTTGAATGAGAATAATATAAATACCTCAGAAATTTCCAGATTCTATTTAGACAATTTTTAGTTTAATAAATTTTAGGAAAATCGCCCAATTATCTTAAAAAATTTTCAGAAAAAAAACTATTATTAAATTTATATGGAAAGCTAAGAGGTAAGAAATTAATTGACAAAATTTAGAAAGACAATGACTAGCCTTTATTGAAATAAAGATTTGAACCTTTTTCAATAGAGGAATCAAAAGAAAAAATTGAAATTGAAGAGGAAAGCAAGTTTGATTAAATGAAAGACTTTATGTTTGGAATAAATATATAAAATTGTTAGAGAGATGTTTATTTGGATGGGAAGGTTAATCCAAGAAATAAATAAAATAATTTCATAAAAAACTCAAAATACAATGCATTTACATTTTTACCCTTAGTTTTGTTTGAATAATTCCATTAATTTATAAACTTATTTTATTTGGGTTTAACGATAACTTAATGTATAAGTTTTTTGAAAGTTGGTAAAATAATATGCTATAAAAGGATTTTTAATTGATTATTTAGGACCACTTGCTTTGGTAGTTGCAATATCTTTACTAAAAGAATTGTATGATGATATATAGAGACATATGAGGGATCATTAAATAAATAATTATGAGTATGGTTTAATAACAAGAAATGGGATTGAAAAGATATCAAGTGGGAATATTAAAGTAGGCCAAATAGTGGAAGTTAAATGTAATGAGAGAATACCAGCAGATTTATTAGTTTTATATGCTGAGTAAGAAGTTTAAATGATAATTTAAGTGATGAATAAGGAAATGTATTTATAAGAACAGATTAATTGGATGGTGAAACAGATTGGAAATTACGAAAGGCAGTTAAAGCAACTTAAAATTTAATTAAAAGTGGTTCAGATCCTAGTTTATTAGTATCATCGAGTAGTTATGCAACATGTTAAGAACCAATAGCAAACATTTATTAATTTTCAGGATTGTTCAATTATAAATATCAAAAAGAATCCTTATCTTTAGAACATGTGATGTGGGCAAATACAATACTAGCAACAGGTAGAATTTATGGATTAGTGATATTAAATGGAAAGGAAACAAGAATGGCAATGAATAGTAAAACACCAAAGACTAAATTTGGTATACTTGATGGTATTTTGATATATATATAAAATTAGATGAGGTAAATTGGTTAAGTTTTTTATTATTCATTATGATGTCAATTATGGCTGGAATAGTAACAGCATTTAGTGGTTAACCAGCAACAGCTAGTGTTGTTACTGTAGCTTATATTAGATATTTAGTATTACTTAGTAATATCATTCCAGTAACTATTTTATTTAAATTTAGATATCTATGAGAGTTAACTTGGAATTTGCAAAATTGGTTTATTCTTATAAAATTAATATTGATCCTTAAATTGAAGGCACTATCACTAGAAATTCAAATATTCCAGAGTCTCTTGGGAGAATTTAATATTTATTAAGTGATAAAACTGGGACTTTGACTTAAAATGATATGATTTTCAAAAAATTGTCATTAGCATCAGCTTAATTTTCAGAAGAAGATAAAGATGAAATGAAAAAGGTTTTATTAGAACAATGTAAATTAAACGAATATCCTATGCAGGATGTTGTCAATTTTATAAATAAAAACAATACAAAATTGAGATTAAAAAGAGAAAGAGATTAAGTTTTTAGAGATTTAATGTTTGCATTATGTTTATGTCATAATGTGACACCAATATATGAGGGAGATAATTAAAAAACATTTTAGGCCTCATCTCCAGATGAAATTGCCTTAGTTAAAATTGCAGAAGAGATTGGAATTTAATTAGTATCAAGAGATTAAATTCAAATTATAATTAAAGATTGTTTAGATAGAAAACAAAAGTATGAAATCCTAAATAATTTTCCATTTTCCAGTGAAACAAAAAGAATGGGAATTATTTTATATAATAGAGAAGCAGATAGATATATTTTTTATGTTAAAGGAGCTGATGCAGTCATGAAATCATTAGTATAAGAACATTAAAGAGGATTTATAGATGAAGAATGTGAAAACTTAGCAAGAGAAGGGTTTAGAACCTTAGTAATCACCTAAAAATTATTAAGCAAATAAGAATATGAAAATTGGAAAGTAAAATTTGATTAAGCAAATGAATAAATAGAAAATAGAGAGACTGAAATTTAGAAGGTTATTTAATAATTAGAAAAAGATATGGAATTCTTAGGGATTACAGGAGTAGAAGATAAATTATAAGAAGAAGTTTGTTCTACTTTGGAGAATGTTAGAAATGCAGGTATAAATGTATGGATGTTAACTGGTGATAAAATAGAAACTGCTATATGTATTGCAATATCAAGTGGAATTAAGTCTCCAACTTAATAAATCTTTTTAATCAAGGAAACTTCTGATCCTGAAAAATTTTAATAGTAAATAAATACTTTTGGTATCGATACTAATAATTATTTACTGGTAATAGATGGAACTAGTTTAAATACAGCTTTAACATATTTTGAAGAATTGTTTTTTACTATTGCAACTAAGAGTTTATCAGTAGTATGTTGTAGATGTTCTCCTACTTAAAAAGCCTAAGTTACAGAGTGTATTAAATTCTACACAAAGAAAGTTGTTGCATGTATTGGGTATAAATAAATACTTATTTATTTTAGAGATGGAGGAAATGATGTTGGTATGATTCAATCTGCTGATGTAGGTATTGGTATTGAAGGAAAAGAAGGAAAATAGGCTGCATTAGCTTCTGATTTCTCAATAATCAAATTTAAATATTTGAATGTATTATTACTCTGGCATGGCAGATTATCATATAAAAGAAGTGCTTTGTTGTCATAATTTGTTATTCATAGAGGATTAATCATTTCTGTTATTTAAGCTGTTTTTATGTTTGTATTTTACTTCTTATCCATCAGTATTTTTAGTGGTGGCTTATTACTTGGATATTCCACTATTTATACGTATTCACAATTATTTTATCTTTAGAATGTTTCCTGTTTTTTCGATTATATTTGATGAAGATGTAGATATTAAAATTGCGCTTCAATATCCTCCTCTCTATAGATCATTATAAAAAGGTCGAGATCTTAATGCCAAGACATTTATGGTCTGGGTTTGGAAATCTATATTTCAAGGAGTTATCATTATGATTTTGGCTTTGGCTATGTTTAAAAACATTTTCCTAGAAATTGAAACAGTGGCTTTTACAGCTCTTATTTTTAATCAATATGCATTGACCTTAAGTGAAGTAACTTTACTCTTTTTAATTTTAGTTGCATTCTTTACACATAGTGATGATTATATCAAATGTAGCATCAGCTTTTATTTACATTTTAACCATTATGTGGTTCCCAAATCAATTATTGGTTTCAGCTATGACATTTTAATTCTTCTTTTATGTGATCCTTATCGTTATGGTAAGTTGGTCCCCTTGTTTTATTGCCTAAAAGATTTTAAAGAGATATGATCCATCTGATTATGAAAAAATAATGGCTAATGTAAAGAGAGAATTAATCAATACCAAAATTTTTAAGTGATTCTTAAATCTTATTTTATTTAACACAATGTTTTTAGTTTTTTTGGTTTATTTATTAATATAAAAAATACTTTATTTATTCATTTTAAATATTAAAATAGAGTAAGATATCCAAATTGTAACTGTTTTTTATAAACAAAATGTTCATTACTATAACAATTAAAAGAACTTATTTCTATAATCTTATTTTTATAAAAGATGGATAAAATCATTCACTTATAGTTATGAATTTTATAAGAAATCTTTTAAAATATTTATCATAATAATAATAAAAAATTATAATAAGTGTTAGTAATGACTTAATAACTGTCTCATTAATGGGCTGGGATGGTTCAGAAATAAATGGCTGAAAAAGTATTAAATGAGAGTCAACAAAAATATGATTAATAGCAGAGAAAGCAAAGATACAAGGAAGAATTAGAAACAGACATGAAATTGAAATAATAGAAAAAAATAATTTAACATCAATAGGACTAACAATTAGAATCTTAAATGTTAGAAACTCTTCGTTAAAGAGAATCTAAGAAATTAAAAGAAATGGAACAAAGAAAAATTAAACAAATAGAAACTAGTTTAGAGAATCTCAATCATTAATTAATTCGAAAAAAAATGAATTAAGAAAGATCATACTAAAGTTTATTGCTCGAATAAGAAGACATAAAGTAGGAGAAGTTAAAAGAGATAAAAAGTTTAGAAAGAATCAAAATGTTAAAAGATGAAGAATCAAGAAAATTACGCGAAAATTATGATTCTATTATTCAATAAAAATTGAACTAAAAATAATAAATCAAATCAAAGTTATTGAAAGTTTAAGAAACTGATCCAGATTAAATGGTTCAATTAGAGAAAGGAGAAGCATAATAATATTAGAATGAATTAAATAAATAATTAGAAGAAAAAAAAAGAAAAATACTTGAAATACAAGCAAAAAAATAAGAAGAAAGATTAAGAGTGGAATAAAAAATTGCTTTCGAAAAATAAAAGATATTGGAAAATAAATTAAAGGATTACAACATGTATAAGTAATATGAAAATGATAATTATGAATTATCAAACCAAAGAAAATAAATAGGTAATAGTTCATCCATGGAATCATATAATATTAAATTGAATGACAATAATTAAAAGAAATTACCTCATATATATTCAGACAATTATCAAGCATAAGAGAGAAATAAACAATTAAATTTGCTTGATTAGGATTTAATAAAATATTAGAAATTATAACAGTAGTAACTTTAGCAAGAGTAGACTTATAATCCAAATAATCAAGTTTTAAGAGTATAGCAATCTATTTAAACACCTTTAAAGACACCACTATCTTAATCATCAAAATAATCAAAATAATCAAAGAAATCTAAATAATTTATAAATCCAGTTCATCAAGATGGTCCTGGATATTCATAAATACATCAAAGTAAAACATAAACTCCTAAATCCAAATAATCAAAGAAATCACTACCTTAGCCAATTGAGATTCTGGATTCCTCTAATCAGTAAATGAAACCTAAATACAAAAATTATAACATCTTAACAGGAATCTTGCATATGTAATGATATGATGTTTATTATATGCTAATTCAAAATAATAATATATAATTCTTATAATTCAGTTTTTCTAATTTATTTATATATACACAAATGCTCAATTTATTCACATTTTTGGTTTATCTAATTTATCTGAAATAAAATTTGCTAATTCTATTTTCTAATCATAATTTAAAATTGGAACTCTGTGAGCTAAGCTTAAATAAATTAATACTTGCTTCTGTCCAGATAATTTGAGAATTCAAATATTCTGTTGTTTAAATGATCGATTCTAAATAAGCAAAATCTCTAGAGCCTACAGTTTGAAGAGTAGGTATAGTAATAAGATGTTTATTGTCATAATGCATTTTTTTAGGTTTTATTCCATTAGATGAAAAGCAAATCAGAAATCTCAGCTATGAGGCAAGTCTTTTGTCTTAATATGCTAATTATCCAATTTCTCCAATTATGAATACTCCTTATGAGAATCCCATCAATCCTATAATATTAGGATTTTAAAGAATTCTGTTCTTAATTTTTTCAATGTCCTCTGTCATATCCAAATAATAATTACCCCATCTATATACTTTTCCTATAAGTTAATTAGTTTTAATTACTTCCTTAAGTATTTAATAAAGGAGGAAGAGGAAACATACTTTTTGATACTTCGTAGGGAGGATCTAGATACTCAATTTCTACATATTTAGATATCAAATTATGTAAATCTCCCATATGTTGTTTTAAGATGAATCCATCATTTTCCCATCCAGGTAAAGCCAAGATTTTATAAGTTTTCATAAATTATAGTTTTTCACATTAATTTTAATTACGCTATATGTTAAGAGAATTGAATTGGAAATAATGAGATAATTTAATATATAAAAATAGAAATATAAAAATGAAAAAGAAATCAAAGAAACATCATAAAAAAAAGCATTACTCGTCATCATCTTCATCTTCAAAATCATCTAAATCTAGATCTAGATCTAGATCAAGATCAGAATCAAAATCAAAATCTGAAAAATCGAAATCGAAATCAAATTAATTTAACAAAGAAAAGAATGTCGATCCTCCTAATTAGGATTAGTAATAAATAGAAAAAATAAATTAGATCTATTACAAGACCATACAAAGTTAATAAATTTGCTCTTGGATCTATGCTTTTTGAAAATCGAAGAACGAATGATAGAATGGATAAGAATGAAGTGCAAAATGCAAATACTTTATTGAAGAAAATAGACAAATCAGGAAGAGATGCTATATTATTATCAGCTGCAATAAACACTGTGTAATAAGATAACAAAAGAGAAGAGTAAGTAATTATTTTCATTTAGATACTAAGTTGAATTAATAAATGGATAATATGTTAAGATTGCCAAGCCATATAGTTGTGGTTTCAGTAATTGTTAAATGAGATTTGTGACAACAGAGGAATTAACAAAACATTTAAGAGAACATGACAGAGTTTAAACAATGAAAAATACACAAAGAGCTTAGAAGTTTATGGAAAACTTGTGAAATTTATGTTTTTATTAAGACTTAGTTAAAATATCAATTAAATATGGTAACATTTTATTAGATAAATTGTGGTAGTATTTATTGTGTTTATTATAACCAAGAGTGATTATATGCTTACTTTGCTGTTAATCTTTCTCTGGATAGTCTTTTAACTAAGCTTTCAATGAATTCTCTTAACTCTTTAGATGCTGAAGAAGGTATCAAAAAGCAAGCCTAATTTAATTTAAAATTCCATTTACAGTTTTCATTAATTCTTGCTAATGTTCTTTCCAAGGAGGCTTTCCAAAGCATAATTCATAGGTTAAAACACCAAGACCCCAAATATCACTTTTTTTATCATACATATCTCCTTCAAGAATTTCAGGTGAAGCATAAATTATAGTTCCACATTATGTTTATCTATAAGCATGAGGAGAGTACACACAAAATGAAAAGTCAGCAATTTTAGCTTAACCAAAACTTAAAAGTATATTATCTGGTTTAATATCTCGATGTATAACATCATTATTATGTATATACATTAATGCAAAGGTGATTTAGTGGACATAATTAGATGCTTCTTTTTCTTAGAATCTTTGATTTGGTTGTTTTTATAGAAGACTGTGTAATTGGCCATGCGAACAGTATTCTAAAACCAAAACGATTTCAGTTTCTAATTATTAAATATAAGAATGGATTACAAGTTTAGAAAAAAGTGTATAATTTAGTGATATTTGGGTGATCAAGAAGATATTGTATTTTAATCTCCCAAGCTAACTAAGCTTCCATAATTTCTTCAACAATTTATTTTTTTTGAATGACTTTCAATGCAACTAAAAATCCAGTTTGAAGATGTCTTGCTAGAAACACTTCACTGTATTTACCATCCCCAAGTTTCTTTATTATTTTAAAATTCTTAAAGCGTTCTTCAGTCTTTTTGGATGGAGATTATTATATAAAAGCTTATTTCTAAAGTAAGAATTATAGTATACTTATTTATACTATTCTTTTAAATTTTACATTAGTGGAATTAACGGAATTAATGGTTGTCTATCTATAATTTATTATGATTGATGCAATGCAATAGTTTTTGTTGGAGTAATGTCTTATTTCTAAGCAACAATCAATTCTTATGTTGATATTTTTGGTGAGTTAAGAATACTTTTATTATTGGAGTCAGCAGTAATATTTTGTTAATTTTAATTAGTTTTGATATTAGATTCAAATTGCTTGTGTTAATTGTAATTGGTTCTAGATTTCTGAAGAACTTATCCAACATATGAAAGTATTTGATTATTATGATAGGTTTATTGCTAAATTCTAGAATACGGTTTATACGACTAATATGAGTTGTTATTCATTTAATTATTTTAATTTAAGAAACACATAATTAATGTTAATTGATTAAAATACTTGGCATGGATTTATCAACCTTTTTGATTAGCCCAATATGGAAAGCTGGTTAGGATGGATTATTTATATTTTCTGTTTGATTGCTGCAATGATTTTAGGTCATTGGTTGTTGACAGTAATTTTGCAATTATTTTAAAGTAATTCATTGTTCCAGATTATGATATACATTCCAAATTTACAATCTTTTTATTTTGTTTAACTTTTAGTCTTAGTACCATGGCATTAGGAATGTTCATTTTTGAGATTTTCAAGATAGGATAATCCTAAACCAGACCAAAATTATGGTCATTCACTCTTATAAGCGATGTTTTATTATTGCTTTATCTATTGCCAAACTTATCTTTTTATTTCATTTTTCATCGTATAGGATTCGGCAAACTATCAATATTAAGTAAACATTACATTTCTACTTTAAGTAATTTGGTTAAGTGCTTTGACTATTCTTATAACATTATATTTGTTTGATAAATTACCTATCACAAATGTTTAATTAAATCTACCATCTTAAATTGATTTCATTACGAAAATTGGGACTTTTATGATTGGAATTTTATCAGGATTTGGAGCTGTTTATTGTCCTTGGGCATATTTTCAAATGATTAGTTTGGANCAACAATTTATTTTTTTTGAATGACTTTCAATGCAACTAAAAATCCAGTTTGAAGATGTCTTGCTAGAAACACTTCACTGTATTTACCATCCCCAAGTTTCTTTATTATTTTAAAATTCTTAAAGCGTTCTTCAGTCTTTTTGGATGGAGATTATTATATAAAAGCTTATTTCTAAAGTAAGAATTATAGTATACTTATTTATACTATTCTTTTAAATTTTACATTAGTGGAATTAACGGAATTAATGGTTGTCTATCTATAATTTATTATGATTGATGCAATGCAATAGTTTTTGTTGGAGTAATGTCTTATTTCTAAGCAACAATCAATTCTTATGTTGATATTTTTGGTGAGTTAAGAATACTTTTATTATTGGAGTCAGCAGTAATATTTTGTTAATTTTAATTAGTTTTGATATTAGATTCAAATTGCTTGTGTTAATTGTAATTGGTTCTAGATTTCTGAAGAACTTATCCAACATATGAAAGTATTTGATTATTATGATAGGTTTATTGCTAAATTCTAGAATACGGTTTATACGACTAATATGAGTTGTTATTCATTTAATTATTTTAATTTAAGAAACACATAATTAATGTTAATTGATTAAAATACTTGGCATGGATTTATCAACCTTTTTGATTAGCCCAATATGGAAAGCTGGTTAGGATGGATTATTTATATTTTCTGTTTGATTGCTGCAATGATTTTAGGTCATTGGTTGTTGACAGTAATTTTGCAATTATTTTAAAGTAATTCATTGTTCCAGATTATGATATACATTCCAAATTTACAATCTTTTTATTTTGTTTAACTTTTAGTCTTAGTACCATGGCATTAGGAATGTTCATTTTTGAGATTTTCAAGATAGGATAATCCTAAACCAGACCAAAATTATGGTCATTCACTCTTATAAGCGATGTTTTATTATTGCTTTATCTATTGCCAAACTTATCTTTTTATTTCATTTTTCATCGTATAGGATTCGGCAAACTATCAATATTAAGTAAACATTACATTTCTACTTTAAGTAATTTGGTTAAGTGCTTTGACTATTCTTATAACATTATATTTGTTTGATAAATTACCTATCACAAATGTTTAATTAAATCTACCATCTTAAATTGATTTCATTACGAAAATTGGGACTTTTATGATTGGAATTTTATCAGGATTTGGAGCTGTTTATTGTCCTTGGGCATATTTTCAAATGATTAGTTTGGATAGTAATATCTTTATTTAGAATAGTTAACAAGGTTAAATAAGGAAAAAAATAAATTATAAGTAACATCTATTTCATACTTGCTGAAATCGAAAAATCTGTAGTGAAATTAGTTATGATCAATGAAGAATATAGAAATAAGAAAAATGGATAAATTCAATCTTCTTTTTTTTGGGCCAGAATATAAAATTGGTTTAAAAAAAAACCAAGAGAATCTTAAGAAAGAAAAGATTTGAAAGAAGAACTTCGTCAATTGAAAGTCATTCATAATTAATTATATGATCATTTTAAAGATTATATTGATGAAGAAATTAGATATTATTAATCCAAATCGTTATATGGCAAATTTCTAAAAAGATTAGCATGGATAGTTTTAATATATTGTATATACAAAATGATTATGAGTACAATCAATGCTATTTGGGGAAGGAAGAAATCAATTGATCCAATCAGTAGAATTTTAAAAGTTATTTTACCTTTTTTTGGATTTGAATTAGATCAAATTACTTATGAAACTCTTGCTATGTATGGAACATTCATTTTTATGGGATACTTAATGTTTAGCAATGTTAGATCCTTCTCTTTAAATTTAGTTAATATATTTAACACCTTTATGGGAATGGCTGTACTTTCGAAATTACCTTATGAAATAATGGTGCTTTTTATTGCTGAAGTTTTTGGTGTATATCTTTTATCAACAGTTATTTTATTATAGACAAGTTTACCAGACAGTTTCATATCTAATCTTAAAGAATATTCTTAAGGTATTGAAATATTAAGCCACTATGAAAATATTGATAAATTATTTTTATTAAGTGGTTTAATAAGTACAATAATAATATATATAAATTATCGTAGAAGAAAATATAAATTAGAAAACTTTGAGAAATCAGATTTGAAATTACGCGATTGAATTTTGTAATATATCTGCTCTATTATATTCATTTAATTATCAGTTCTTCAATATAACCATGTTTTCAATTGCTTTTTTTGTTATTGTTTCGTCCTTAAACAGTTCGTGTTACAAAGCCTACTCTATAGGTATTTACTTCTCCAGTTTACTTAACAAATCTTTGAAGTTTGGAGATAATTGTTATCCTCTTATAACATAGGTCAATAATTTGTATAATAAATAGGAATCTACTAATTCATCAAACATTTATCCTTTCATCACTTCAGGAGATGCAAATTCAGATAACTTTTGTTTATTATAGAGTTTGAATTGGTAAGTGGAATAGCTGAAATTGCAAATAGCAATCTTTTCAATAGAATCTGGTTCCTATTTATTGGGAATTACTACTATCTAATTAGGATTTAAGCAAACAATAATTATACCCATCATATGAATGTAATTAAATGTAACCAACAACTATTTGGCTATCTATCTTATTTGAAATTCTAGTAATTAAAATACTATATACCACTGAATTATTTTATCTATGACAAATATTCATCAAGAGTAAATGGGATATTTTCACAAATTTAAAATATTGTACTGGCATTTTGAAATTGAATTTCATGACACTTAATAACACCTTTAAAATTTGAAACTGAATCATGAATTATTAAATTAGAAATCGAACTGTTATCCAATTAAAATTGCTAAATTGATAATTTTAATCCTAATGATTTGTTAACGCATTCAATATGTGTTTTTTTATTATTATTTAATATTTAATACTTCTTGGAATAAGGGCAATATAGTTAATGCAATTCTATTAGAGTATCGAAAAACAGTTAAGCTTCTATCTTTAATTTATCACACTTAATAGTAATTCCAAATTTATTCACGTATTATTGTTTCGGAATTTCTTAGATAATTGAATATGCCAATGGAATGATTTCTAATAATAATAATAATAATATAATTATATACCGATAATATCTTAACTTTCTGATCCATAAAGAATAAGCAATTTATTTTCAATTAATTAAAATTTTCTTCTCACAAAGGCATTACTATCTGTTTTTTGCCAAACAAATCTTTCTTCTAAATCCAATTTATTAAACCATAAATTCATAATTAATGATTGTTGGAGATATTAAATAACTTTTTCACTAATCAACCATTCGTAATATTATTATTCAGATTGAGGACAAAAATGGTCTAAGTAATCTAAGATTAACTTTTAATGATTAATTTTATCATCTTCAAAATTGGCTTTCTTTATTGGAGATACATTATTATTATTATTATTGTCAATACCAGAAAGGTCTAATGATTAATTTCCCATGTCAATTTCTGGCTCTTATTCCATTTCGATTTCAGACTCATCAAAACATGAGTATTGTTCATTAAAAACTTCTTCTTTATTGATCATATTCTTTTTTAAAAAGGCATCATCAGATTATATTATCGAGTAAAATAAAGCTTTAGGTAAATTGCTCAGCTTGAGGTATATTTTGAATAGATTACAACTAATTTAAAACTTTATTTGCTTATTGGAAACAATTAAGAGAATATCTATTGATCTTGATGTACTTAACCTAAGAATGAATGTAATGATTTTATTATTACTTAAAAACATTAAAAGTTTGCCATCACATTTCTGAAAAATCCAGTGATTCCTACAAGTTTAAATATTTCATATACCATGCACCCTATTTAGTAATAAATATACCTAAAGATTAAAAATTAAAAACATCTCTTCGCTACTTTGAACTTAGATGATATTAACTAATCATTATACTTAATTGTAGAACTTTAAATTTATCATATTCTTTCATCTGATATCTGTTTTGTGCTTATTCTTATTTTCCAAAAAGACATCCCATAATATTAATAAATAGTTGTTAAATTAATGCTTCGGTCTGCTTTATATGAAATAGCTCATGATTACATCATTTTAGGAGAAGATAGTTTTTAGAATCAAGAAATTGAAAACTACTAACCTAATCGAATTCCACAATCACCTAAATCAGAAAACGTTGTGGATCGATTTAAAAATTTTTCCAATCTACTACAGGAATAAAAATAAAAGAAATAAACAAGAAGAGCTTTAATATCTATTGATACTAACTTCAACACACTTTAAGGCTCTCCAGATAAAAATTAAAATGTTGCTAACTGCAGCTCTAAACATAAATCTACTTATTCATCTCCAAAAAACTTTGTTTTTTATGACAGATAAATTCGTTGGTTGAATTAAGTAAAATAAACAATCAAAGTAAAGGAGGCTATTCAAAAATAGAGATAAAGTGTAGAATGTCCTTTTAAACCAAAGAAATGTCCAACTTCTTTACCTTAAACAACAAAAAACCAATCAAAAAAACCTTCTAAAATAAGGAAAGATTCATATTCAACAATTCATTTATTAAAACAGAAGTTTTATTGAATTTAGCTTATATATTATTATAAATTTTATATGTAGTATGAGTATCAGTTAGGGTGATATTATTATTTATAATTAATAATAAATAATAATATTAAAATTATTGAAGCAAGTTCTGAGTTGAATAAAAAGAGTTGCATTAACGTACTTTAAATCTTATATTCAGGAAGGATATTTATATAAATATAATTAATTTTATTAAAATTGATATTAAAAAATGGCAGAATAAGTGGTTCCTAGTAGAATGAACTTGGCTTTATATAAAGCTAAGATTATTTCAGCCAAAAAGGGTCATGAATTGTTAAAGAAGAAATGTGATGCTTTGAAAACAAAGTTCAGAATAGTGATGGTTGCTTTATTGGAAAATAAAAAATCAATGGGTGATGATGCACAAGAAGCATTATTATTATTTGCTAAGGCTTAATATGCAGCAGGAGAATTTCAGTATTAAGAATATTAAATATAGTTAAAATGTGAAAGATGCTGTAAAGAGAGCCACAATCAGATTAGAAATCTCAAGTGAAAATATTGCAGGTGTAATGTTACCTGAAGTAAATATTAGAGAAGTGGATGATTCAGATTCAAGTATGAGTCAAATTGGGTTGGCTAGAGGTGGTCAATCTATTTAGAGATGTAGAGATAAGTTTAAGGATTTATTAGTCCTTCTTATTAAAATTGCATCATTTTAAGTAATTAAATAAATTAGATCTCAAGACTTCTTTTGTTTCCTTAGATCAAGTAATCAAAGTTACTAATCGAAGAGTCAATGCTCTTGAATATGTTGTCATTCCTAGATTCACTGCTACTATGAACTACATTGATATGGAATTGGATGAAATGTCAAAAGAAGATTTCTTTAGGTTTATTTCTATATTATCATTAGATTGAAGAAAGTGCTTGATAATAAGAGAAAAATTATTGAAAAACAAAATTAAGAAACAGCAAAAAGATAAATAGAAGTTGAAGATATGAATTGGTAAGAAAGAGAGAGTTATGATATGTTGGCAGAAGAATAACCTGATGAAGATGTATTCTTTTGACAATTATACATATTGCATAATAACGTATAAAACATTTACACTTAATATTGTGAAATACAAAGAATAATTAACATTTCAAGGCTATTTTTTCTAAGGAAGTATAACCCTTTATTAATTTTGTAACATAACATTTTTAGAAAACACTGAAATTTCATCTATACTTTTTTTTGAATTTGCATCTACAGATTGTCTACATTTGCATTTTTACACTTTTTCATCACTCTTCTTATCTTAATAATAATCTTCTGATGTATGAAAAGCCAATTATTTTCTAATCAATATTTTTTTAATTAGTCTCTCAACCTGAAGATTGTTATTTTCAATTTCCTCCAGAACAGTTAAACAAACCTTGGCATTTAATCTCATCTATGGATTGGATTCCAACATTTAAGGAAGTAAAATCTACATTATTTCAAATTTTTTGATACGAATAATTAATCCATTTTATTGGAATTACATTCTGGATGTTACTATTGCTTTTTCAACTCAAAAACTCCTTCTTTATTAGATTAATAAACTGTCTATTTACCCTGTTTTGTACTAAATAGATTCTCTCCAGTCAACCTTAATTCAATAATTGTATATACAATTTATAAAGAACACAACCTAAGCTAAAAATGTCAGCTTTCTCGTCGTAAGGTTTGTCTTTACTAAAATTTATAATTTCAGGAGCCATATATCCAGGAGTTCCTGAAGTTGGAAATATTAGTTGATTCTTAATTTTTCTTGCTAAACCAAAGTCTATCAATTTCACAGTTTCTGCTTTCATTATATTCAAAGGATTAATATCTCTATGCATTATACCTTTGTTGTGAATATATGTAATTGCCTCCAATAATTCCTAAAATTCAATGAATTTATACTTTCATTATCTTAATTGTCTCATTAACCGAGAGTCCATATTGTCTACTCTATAATTCTGAATGCAAAGTCTTTCCATTAATGTATTCCATCACTATATAATAATTTTATTCATCCACATAGGTTTCTCTTAATTTAACTATACTTGGATGCTATAATTAGTTCAATAAGCTTAGCTCATGTATTAATTGAGGCTTTATTTTTATGAATCATTACTATAGCTCCGTCATTTTAGGTTATTTTCATCTTATCTACTTTCTTTATGGCATAATAGCTCTCGTTGTTTTCTGTGGAAACACATCTATAAACTGATCCTGTCATTCCACTACCAATTTCCATATGAAATTAGTAAAACTGGGACACCGGACTAAAAAACACTTTTCCAGCTAGCATTTCTTTAAGGAGATTTAATTTGGGTCCATACACTTCTTTTTGTCTGCTGTTATAAGAAAATTCGAAAGCCACTATCCTTTTATTCTCACATATCCACTTTATTGTAGTTGTTAAATTCGTTTTTAAATTGTATTTTGGAAGATTAGTCGGATCCTAATTTGATCATCAAGTTACATCAGTCATCACCAATTCGTCTGCAAATAAATATAATTGGTAAGCTTTATCCTTGAAGAAGTGTTTTCGTATCACTTGTACATTAAATAATGCTTTCTCATAAGATAACATTTTAATTCATAAAAATCATCATTTCTATATGAAGAGTTCTAATGATAATCAATACTATTCAAAAGATTCTATTTTACTATGAACTCTTAATATTATCAAAAACAAGCTATATCTAAAAATACTTTCTCTATAATTTTTACTAAGACCATAAATATATTTGAAATCTCATTCTTTCATACCAAACTTGAATGTTGAAACAATAATAATTTTGACTTTAAAATAACGCTAGCATTTTACATTAGTGTAATATTCACAATAACTAGAATTAAAATATTAATTACAAGAATTAATAATGGTTCATCATTTCTAAATTCTTAATATGGTTGTAAAAGTGCTCAATATTAACATTTTTTATAATAAACTTAAATTGTGACTTATTATTTATTAACTTTACTGTTTTTTAAAAAACACTACATCTAAGAAATCAATTAGGAAGATTGTGTTTTAAAATAGTAGATATTTTTAATTATAAAATATAAATTGATTAAGGTTATTTTTACAAATGATCAAAAACGACCCTAATTAAACTAAAATAATTAGCAAAAAACTTATGTAATAAAATAAAAAATTGGAATTATAATTTAAATTATTTAAAATAAATAAATTCTATGGCTTCATAAGTATAAAATAATAAAGATTATAATCAATTACTAACAATTTGGAGTGATTATTTTAATAAGCCAGCTAAGGAGGCAATTGATCCTTAAGACAATGTTCATAATATGATAATCCTATTTTACAAACTATTTCAAGAAAATGATTCAATAATTGAATTTTAACATACACCATAATTGATTGAATGTAAAATTGATATATAACAATTATTCAAATTGATTGATGATGGTGAATAACTTCAAAATTTATTCATAAATGACCCTTAAGATTGGATAAGTTCAATTTCATTAGCTATATCAAGTTTGAATAAAAATAAGAAAGTAGTTTGTAGACTTCATAATATTCCTTTGTCCAAAAAACTAGGTTCCTAAGACATTGGTAAGTACATTGCGATTATGGGAACCATTATCACCACAGGTTCATCAAAATTATTATTAGAAAGAGCATGCTTTATTTGTATATCGTGTGATGAGTTTGAAAGTAATAATTTAAATAAATTAGAATATTATGTAAATTCAGATGGATCGATTCCAAAGGTAAATTAATGTAATAAGTGTGGGAATATGAATACAATGAAACTGGATAGAAATAGAAGTGATGTTGTATTGTATTAGACAATAAAATTAAATGAATTATCAATAGAAGTGGAATTGAGAGATCTTTATGTAAATTGTTTTATGTCTGGAGATGAAATAGTAGTTCATGGGATAGTAAAGACAATCCAAGATGAATAAAAGAGTTCTCTATATGTAAAATATATATAGGCATATCATGTAAAACATGAATAGATAAATGAAAATTTTACTCGACAAGAAATCAAAACAGTAAATGACTTGGCTAAAAATGGAGAGTTGTTTTATGCAATGATAAATAATTTCTGTCCAAGTATATATGGACATGAGATTGTAAAAGCTGGTTTATTATTATCAATAGTAGGAGGAAGTACTTGTAATAGAAATGCATCACATTGCTTATTAGTAGGTGATCCTGGTTAAGGAAAGAGCTAATTGTTGAAGTTTGCTCATCTATTATCAACTCGTTCTATTTATGTTTCAGGAACAGCAGTCTCATAATGTGGTTTAACTTGTTCAGTGAATCATAAGAATGATGATACAATTATTGATGCTGGTGCATTAGTGTTGGCTGACAATGGAGTTTGTTGTTTAGACGAAATTGACAAAATGTAGAGTTAACATTATGCCTTATTAGAAGCGATGGAATAATAAACCATCACTTTAGCTAAGAGTGCTGTTATGTGTTAATTTTATGCTAGAACAACTATTATAGCTACTGCTAATCCAGCATAAGGACATTTTAATAAAACTAAATCGTTGATTGAGAATCTAAAAATATAAAATACTTTATTGTCTAGATTTGATTTAATTTATTTATTGATTGATGAACCAGATATGGAAAGAGATTAAAAACTATCAGAACACATAATGAATTTTCATAATATGAAAACCTCAAGAATCAAATTTCATAATAATGATGAAATAAAAACACCCAATGCTTATAGAACCTTGAATGAAAGATTACATCAAAACTAAATTAATCAAGAGCTACCTTATTAATTAATGAAGAAGATTATAGCTCATGTTAAAAATATTAAGTCAGTCCTTACATTAGGAGCTTAGAAACTTATTACTTCATATTATTTAAAAATTAGGTAAACTGCTTTTGGAATGCCCATAACAAGTAGATAATTAGAATCACTTATTCGATTATCTTAAGCTAAAGCAAAGTTATGTTTAAGATAAGAAGTAACTGAAGAAGACGCTTAATTTGCAATAGATATTTTTGAAGAAAGCAGATTCGATTGTTTTATTAGTGGTTTAGGCAATTAATCCACCAATAAGAAAGGTTAAAATAGTTCACTCAATAACTCTAAAAATATAGGCACATTATCTAAACCTAAATAAACCTAGATCTTCTTAGATGAATTGCATAAAGTATCATTATAAAAGGATTCTTATGAATTTTCAATGGAAGAACTAAAAAACACAGCCAGAAAAATAAATCTGTAGGTTGGAGATTTAGGAGATTTCATTAATAAATTAAATTATGATTGCATGCTTATTATGAGAGGGAACAATGTTTATGAATTAAACTATAAAAGATGATTTTTATCATATTATTTTAATTAAATTTAAATATAAAAATGAATTAAGAAATTTAAGTTGAATAAAGACTTTCACTTTATGATATTGTCAGAGAAAAAAGAGAAGAAAAATAAGTTCCAATCAGTAGAATGGTTTATGCCACTTACTTTAGTGAAAGTGCTATATAAAAAATTGATGTTGAATAAGTTTTAACTAAATAAGTTATATTATCACTAAATATATAGATTAAAGAATTGAGTGACACTCAAGGTTAAATTTCAGGTTTTCTCTTAATTCGAGGTCTTTTTAGTTTACATTTAGTTGAAACTTAATCAAATGTAATGAATCTTTGGATGCGTAATTTATATGCAGAGTATAGAAAGGAAAAGAACATTTATAGCATGATTAATATAGTTACTGTTAATGAAGACAATCCTACAAGATGTTTTGATAGATGGTATTGTGAAAACTTATTTTAAACTGGTCCATAATTATCAGATATGGATAAAACAGAAGCTTAATGTTAAGAGAGAGTTTGGGAATTGTATTAATAAGTATGTAATGCAGGAATCAAACACAGTGCAAGAACTTAAAAAGATAAATAACAAAATAAAATAGCTAATGATGTCCCAATTACTTTAGATGATATCAACATGTTACTACATAAAAGATTCATGTCAATTGAAGAATATAATGAATTATATTTAGGGGACATTAAAATTGAATTAGAATAAGAAAAAGTCTATCCATAAACATTACCTTTAACAAGAGCATTAGAATATAAAGATTTAGGAGAATGAAATATAATGTTAAATTTAATTACAATATGTCTTTTATAATTTAAAATTATTTTCATTGATATGCAGTTCTTTTAAAAATTTTAATTTATTTTACTGTTCTTGCAAAATAAGTCTCTTATATTTAATTCATAATTAACAGCTATTTGTAATATTTTAATATAAATAGCATTTTTTAAATCATTCAAGCTCATTTTATCGAATTTAATTGATTTTATTAAGTCATCATTTTTTTTTATTTCAGAAAATAATAAAATAGTTTATTAAATTAATTAAGAAGCATTATTTTTAATATATTAAAAAAAAAATTTCATCAATTTCTATTATTTAATACATTAGACAAATGAATAATCTAAAATACGGGAAGTCAAACTTAAAATAGGAAGTTGAGATTATAGCTAATTTTTAATAAATTATATAGAATCAAACCATAAATAATTAAAATATTTAATTAGGAGGGGGAGGACAAACTTAGATGACATCCCAAACTTAATTCGAATCTGTAAAAGTAGAATAAAAGGAGAATGAGCAAGATTTTTTCAAATAAGATATTTTCTAATATTTGTAGTTTTAATCTTCTCTTTTAAAAAATTTATTATCAAATAAAATAGAAGATGATTAGATCAAATAATTAAATAAAATCATATAATGGTTTCTATCTAAAGGATAAGATTTTATTGAAATATCTAGTCAGAATAAGCTAGATTAAAGATAACTACAGATTATTCAAGAAGCTATTCAATATCTTTTAAAAAGTACTATTTATACACCAACTCTAATGCTATCATTTAGCTTGATTTAATTGGCTTAAAATTTATTTCATGTTCTCTACTAGCAAGCTAGAATCTATGATTATAAAGAAATATTATCATATTATTCAAAAAGTTATAATGATGACTTATAATAAATAGAGGAAAAATTTTAAAACTTATAGGGGTTAAAGGAAATCTTTGATGATAAATGTAATTTGATGAGGATTTAAATTTAGTATTTAAGAAATAATGAAAGATCAAATTTATAAGCCTTTTCTTTTATTTTTCAATAAAACAAATATGAAAACTAAAATGAAGTGATATTTGAATTGTTAGAGGATGCCAAAAGTTTATTTAAGGAAGAATAAAATGATATGCAAAAACACCATGTTAATTATTTTTTTTAATCATTGAAGTGGACCATAATAAAAATGATTATAAATCACAAAAATGTATCTATTGATGAACTTGTTAATTAATTAAGCAAAGGATATCATTCTATAATTTAAAATTAATAACAAAGAGTAATTTTTGAATTTTTCTTAATGCTACTTGATTTAATTTTGTTTAATAATTGTAATGGAAATAATGATAAATTTAATTAATTATCAATGTAACTTGGGTATTTATATTTTTAGGATAAGAAAAACATTTGGGAAGATTTTTTATAGACTAAATGTGATAGGCAGATGAAATGTTATTTGGCATTTTATTTTACTTTGATTGTAAAAAAATCACATCATCAATAATAAAAAATTGTATCCGCTTTTTAATCGTATATTAAATTGATTTAGAATTCAGAATAAAATATAATTTTTTTAGAAGAGAATAATTTAGATAATTTAGTAATTCACATTATAGATAAAAATCAAAAAGAAGATAAAAAAAAATATTATATTAAATAAATGAGAGAAAAAAAAGAAATAATTTAAAAACGGTATAGGAACAAGATCCAAAACAATTTTAATTCAATAAATATAAAAGTTATATCTGAGTAAAATAAAGTTGCTCTATTATTTGATGAATTTGATATTGATTTTACTTATTAAAATGATGAACAATAGTCTGTAATTTTTGATTTTCTCTGGAATAACAAAAATAAAAGTGATGTTCTTTTGATTAAAGGCAAAGCAGGATCAGGTAAGACAACTAGTTTAAAAAGGCTTGAATTTTTTTTATGGAATCTGTATGATTCGAAATCTGATAAAAAATAATGGATTCCTTTATATGTTGAATTAAGTAATATAGAAGATCCTCACTTTGAAATCTGGAAAAAAACTTTAAAACAGATTTTTGACTTTAACAAAGAGGAGAGGAGATGTTTTCAAAAGGATATAGAAGATGGCAAATTACATATTGTTCTATTATTTGATGGGTATGATGAATTGAAAACAGATTAACAGAAAATTAATTTAATTAAAAAAAACAAAATCTTCCTAAATCAATTAGGTAAAAATGTAAAGGTGATTATAACCACAAGAATAGAAACTTTAAATTAAAAGGGATATTAGGTATTGTTTAAAGGGGAAAAAAATTTGACTGATGTTTAAATAATTGATTTCGAAGATAATTAAATATAGCAATATCTTGAATAATACTGTATTAAAGCATTCAGAAAAGAAATTTATGACTTTTATGAGAAAATTTATATAGATGATTAATTAAATTTTGTATTCAAAAATGATGAAATGGAAGAAATTTTCCAGTATATTTGGAAAATTTTTTTTTATGAAGATCTATAAAAAATTGTAAAAAATTCCAAAAAATCTTAAAGTTTTTTAATGTGTAATGAAGACTTTTCAAAAATGATTAACAAATTAATAACCATATTAGAATGTGAACATTTATAGCCATAAAGATTGTAGGAATTTTAAGACCGTTTTAAAAAATTATAAAATCAAAGTTAACTAATGGAAATACTAGAAAAATATCAAATCAAAGAATTGATTTAGACTCCTTATGCCTTCAAAATTATACTTAAAGTCTTAGAGAATAAGTATAAGTTCGAAAAAGTTAAAGAAACTCGAAAAATTAAGTTTGAATCGATGCTTGAAATAGTAATGAATGAATAAATTATATATAATGATTAGGCTGAGCAAGATGAATATTCTTAAAATCTGATGGATAAATTAGATGAAGTCGAATTTTTTGAAAGCTTTAAAATTGAGAGTTTAGTTAAAGAAAATAATAAATTTTCAGATACAGATTTAGTTATAATAGATTAAGCATTAGAATTATCAAAGTTTACATTATACTAAATTTACAAATTATACATAGATTAACATCATAAGAAGTAAGAAAAAAAAATAAATAATTGTGCAAACTATACAATAGAAGTAAAAGATTTTATAGGGTAAATTAATAATTTTGAAATGGAGTTAGCTGTTAACATGAGTAAGGAAGATATAATTCATTTAAATGTAAAAAAGCTAGTAAAAAATTTTTTTAAATAGAACTATTTTGAAGAAGTTAAATATGATCCTTTAATTAAATGTGCTTTAATTAAGCTTGATAATAATATTGTAGCTTTTTAACATAAATCGATTTAGGATTTTTTTGTTGGAAAATATATTATGAAGTTCTTTAAGGATTTCAATAGATCAGTTGAAGAAAATATTGAAAGTAGCATATATAATTAAAATAATTTTAATTTATCACATTAACAATTCGAAGCTGCGCTAGATTTTATAAAAAATGATTTAAAAAATTTATAAAACATAAAAACAAACTTAATATATGTTGTGGAACTTTCGAAATAGGGCAAATGTATAAGAGCAGCATCTAATAGTATTTTTTTAATCAATTATTTGAAACTTGATCTAATTGGTTAAAATTTAAGTGGAATTTAATTAGAGGATACTAATGTTTCTGGACTTAATTTCTTTGGTAGTAATTTAGATGGATCAAGGTTTGAAGAAGTTAAAATTTAGTATTGTAACTTTAATAATACCAGTTTAAAAGATGTTGAATGGTTAAATACACCTTGGAATCATGTTGAAATATTGAAAGGCGAAAAAGGAGTAGAGATAGTTGATTTTATAATTTCTCCAGATAATAGATTTTTAATTACTTGTGGAAGATGTTCACTTTTAATATGGAATCTAGAAATTAATGGTAAAATTAAAAATCTAACATTTCCAATGAATATAAATACTTGTGTTTTTTCATCAGATTCATCAAAATTTTTAATAAGTTTATAGGGTTTTATTTAGATTTACTTAATTGATAGATAGGATATAAAATTACTTCTATTTACACCTTATCAAAATGGCTTAAAATTTACTTTCTACAATAATGAAGATAAAATTATATGTACAGAAATGAACTAAATTTAGGTAAATTATTATACCCAAAATGAACAATTCCCCTTTTAATCATTTCCGATGTATTTTTAGAATCTAGCAATTTTAGATTTTAACTAAGAATCAGAGAAATGGACTGAAGATATTCTATTTCGTAAATAGTTTACAGCCTTTTAGCTTAAAAAAAATGGTGATATCTTATTAGGAAAAGAAGATGGATCCATATCAGAATTAACAATTCAAAATAAATAAGAAAAATGTATCTCTTAATTTATTCATAAAAGTTAAATATCTTAACTTTAAGAGACTTAATTTGAATTTCTAAAAGAGCTTGGTTAGATAAATAAACTCACCATTATCATTTCAACTAGTAAAGATCTAGTAAATATTTTTTGGTATAATTCCAAATCTTAGACATATCAAAAAGTTAATTCCTTGCCTTCTTCTCAGATAAATGGTTAATTACCAAGATATTTAAGTTTTAACATTAAGGATTTAATTTTAATCATAAAAGATCATATTGTTTTCTATGATAAAAGCAAGATTATCGAGCTAAAACAAGATAAAATTTTTGAAGAATCAAATTGTATAATTTAATAAGATTTGAAGAGTTAATAACATTTGAATTTTATAATTTAAAATAATCTTGAATTCGACGAACCCATTTTTGTTGCTAAGAATAATTGTATCGAAATTTATAACAATAACGAAACTTTAGATCGGCTACAGAGAAAAGATTTAACATCTTAATAAATATTATCTATGAAATTTTGCGTTGATGATTGTCTAATAACTTACAACAAAGATGAAACAATTAGATTTTTTATTTATCAAAATTCTTAACTCTATGAAATAAAAGATTTTATCAAAGGATAAGTGAAAAATCTATCATCAACTTTTGTAGAAAAAAACTATCAATAAAGAATTCTAAAAATTGTAGTATAAACTCAAAAGAATGAGTTAACAATTTATTAAGTCTAAATTTTACAATTTAAAATAATAAGTTAAGATTAAATAATTTAAGACAAAGATTCAAAAATAAGTTATTTTTTATTTTCATAAGATGGAAATATTATTTACTTATCCATAGATAATAAAATTTATTCTATTATAATTTAAAACAAATAATAAGAATAATTTTAACTTAAACATGAATAAGAAATATAGTCAATGTATTTATCAAATACTAATAAATTTCTTATTTCTTATAGCTTAGATAATGTTATTTTCATTTGGGACATTGGATAAAAATAAGTAATTCATTAATTAAGAGATAAAAAAATTGTTGATCTCTTATTTAAAACCGATAATGAATTCATATTAAAGACTTAAAACTCAATTATCTGGTATAATATTAATATATTTGATGATAAAAACCTCTTAAAAATTAAGAAATATTATGAATTAGAAGAAAATCTTGAAAATAATAATTAACAACAAAGCATTAATCTAATTAAAATTTAGGATGCAGCCAAATGTTAAAAGAATACTATTGAATTTGAAGAGTATTATGATTAAAATTTACAATCATGGAAATCTAGATAAGTTTAATAAAATATTTATTCTGAATTCATTACAATAAAAAAAGGAAACAATATGATATTAAAACATCTTATTGAAGGTGATTAGACAAAAGTTTTAATGTTGGATGAAGAAATGTAGGAAATTGTTTTTATTAACAAAGATATTATAATATCAAAAATGAATGGAAATATTTTAAATATTGTATTTACAAATAAGATGGAAACAGAAGAAGAATTATAATTTAATTCTTTTGTAATAAAAGAAGAGGAGAAAAGTTCTTATACAATTATTGCAACTTAATTAAATTAGAATATTTAATTAAATAAAATAAATAACAATAAATAATGGTACACTACAAGTATAGATACAGAGGCTGAAGATATTTAAACCTTTTTAGCAATATCTAATAATTGCGATTATTTAGCATAAGCAATTCAACAAAAGATAAATATTTATTTAATCAAATACTTTGACTTTCCAATTAAGTTATCAACGATCAATATTGATTATGAAGTGAAATAGATTGATATATCAAATTGTTACAAAATTTACGTGTAAAGTTAGGATTTTCTATATAAATATTAAAATTTAGAGTAAATAACTAAGATTCAATCTAATCTTCAGTGTGAACCAAATAAAATTCATTTAAATTATAACAATAAATTGTTAGCTATCTAATTAAAGAATTGTGTACAATTTTATGACATTTCTGATTAGAAGTTTTAATAACTTTAAATATTAGCTGATTGCTTTTCTTCTTCTATTGATAATAAAAGTTTTGCAATAAGCAATAAAGATTGCGTATAATACTATGATTTTGATTGGAAAGGTTTGAATAATTATTTATCTGTATTTGAAATTGGAAAAGATTAGATAATAGCAAACCTTTTCTTAGTTTAAGATCCAAATAAAATTTTTGTTCTTACTCCAAATGATATTTAAATATGGAAAAGAAGTGAAAAAAAACTACTTTCCATCGTTGATATCAAAAATAACAAAACAAAAGTATTATCAAATGAAAAAATAGCATAAATAGATATATAAAGGATAATTATTGGTTAAAAAAATATAAGTGCTAAATTATATAATAGGGAAGAATATGGGTTTAAAGCTTGTAATCTATCATTTAGTTGGGATGGTAAATACATTTTATATTATAAAAATAATAATCATCTAGTATTTCAAAACTTAAACAACCCCTAATTTGAATATACTATTAAAGAATTGGAAGGTTAAAGTAATATATCATTTAGTGCCTAAAGCAAGTACTTAATAAACTTTAGTTCAGAGGAAAAAGTAATAGAATACAGTGAAGTTAAATTTTTAAATTTAATTAATGGGTAAACAGTTTTTGAAAATTACTTAAATGTTTGGGATGCAAAAATATTAAGTAAAATAAAATCTATTGTTAAAATTCCGATTCTCAAAAAATAAAGAAAAATACAGTTTTATAAAGAATCTTTTATTTCAATGATAAACAGCTAAACTATATGTGTATATGATATTGAAGAACTAATAAAAGATTGTTATGATAAATTGCTTATAGATTGTTCAAAAAATATCAATTGGTTTGGAATGAATAAAAATGAAACTAAATTTATTACTGTAACTCTTTAAAATTAAATCACAATCTTTGATCTAAAAACTAAAAAATAATTATAAATTTTTCATCCTCGTTGTTAATAAATTTTTTGGTTAGAATTTACAGAAGATGAAAAATTTATGGTTTTGAGAGATACTGCAGATAAATTAATTCTATGGAATTTACTTGAGAATTGTGAATAATTAGAAATTTAAGATAATTTAAATTTAATTGGTAGTGCAATTGGTAAAGAAAAAAGCATGTGTTACTTTGTGAAACTTGAGAATTCATTAGGAATAACATGTTAAAAATAAAATTAAATTGTGGTTTATGATCTGAAAGATTTCAAAAGCTATTAATTGTTTATGAGTATTCGTGCAGAATAAAGCGAGGAAATAATAAGGCATTATGTTTATTCAAACAACAGTAAAATTGGCACAATTTCAGTAAAACAGAACAAAAAGGATTATTTTATAAGTATATGGAATCTAAAAACGAAATAAAAGATTGAGGCATTTAATATATCTTAGCTAAAATGGTTTTTTGGCTCACCTAATAGTGATAATTATTATATTAAAGAGATTCCAAAACAATATAGTTTTGGAATTACTCATGATAATAAATTTGTACATCGATATTCAAGTGAGGAACATATTATAGAAATGCATGAATTTAGCAATTATGAAAAAAATTAGCCAATTCTTAATATTTTTATGAAGATTTAGGAAGCTTAATTAAATTCTAATGAGTCAAAATTATAAGTAAATAACATTGGAAATAAGTACATTACATACCATTACAACTTTTAAATAAGAATTATCGATTTAGAGCTTTATAAGAAATAAGTAAAAGTGATAAGGTTAGAAAAATTCTAAGATTTCTTGGATTATTAATATCATAAGGATTATTTGCTTTATAAAGAGAAAAAAGATAAAAAATACAATTTGAAATTATTGGACTATAGGAATGGTTAATAATTTGATCTGTTTGATAACATTTGTGATAAATTTATAGTAGCTTTTTCGAATGATGGCCAATATTTTGCTTAGGGTTGGGATAATGGATTAATAAAAATTTATGAGTATAAAATTAAAAATGACAAAAATATTGATTTTGTTCCAAAAGATAGTTGGATGAGTCAAATAAAGAAAAAAATAGAATTGATTAAATATACTTCAAATGATAAAATACTTATTAGTAGTTAAGATAGCGAATTAGCGTTTTGGAATGTTAGTCATTTTAAAGATAGATAAAGAGCAATATAATATATGAAAATTGACTTCAAAATTATATCTATAGCTATTTCTCCTAATGGATCTGATATTGCATTAAATTTAGAAAGCAATATGGTATAGATTTTAACAGTTGATGAATCAAAGTGTAATGCTGAAAATTAGAATTCCTAAAATTAAGTATTATAATAATATTTTTCTAGTATATTGGCTGTTATAAATCATTACCAAAGTTAGAAGAATTAATGACCCAGCATTGCATAGTCACAGAAAATTCAAAATTTTAAGATTAAAATCAGAAATAATTAAAGCATCTATTCTAATCAGAAATATAATATGATGACGAGTGATATTAATGAAATATATATTCAAAATAAAATCAGCATTATTAATTATTCTATTGTAAAATGATTGAATATGTATTTAAAATATCATATTTAATTATTGCCAGTTGGAAATTTTAATGATTTTAAAGGAATTCTATCCATCAAATACTAGGGTATAAATTTATATTTCTATTGATTTTATAAAATTATGAAATTCTATTATTATTTATTTTAATTGAAATCTGAACATTATAAAATGAATATAAAATAAATAAAATGTTAAAAGTAGAAGTCAAAGAATGCTAAAAAAATGACCATAAAGGATTTTAAATTGTAGCTGTAGATCTTTCAGAATAATTTAACAAAGAAAATGATTAAAAAAGGTTTTATTGTGTGAAATGCCTAATTGAAAAGATAGGATCCAAAAAAATTATTTTGTATGAAGAAGCTATAAAAAAAGGAGAAGATGTAGATAAGGAATTAAAGATAAATACAGAATAATAAAAAAAGCAGTAGTTGGAGAATATATAAAAAATGAGAGAAAAAATCAAAATTGTTGGAGAAAATCTTTAGTAACCTTTAGGAGCTATGGATAAATAAATAGAGTAATATATCACTAATTTGTAAAACTAATTGGAAGCAATTCCAGAACCTTCAACAATCCAAAATAATATTAAATTATTATCAGATTGTTAGAAAGAAGATGGTTAATTCTCAAGTCCTTAACCTAAATTAGACAATAAAGAGTTAGTGGCTTTAATAAACTAGATAAATAAATTTTTTGACTTAATAAAGAACAATGAATAATTACTTGAAACAAAAAAACATATGCATTAAGTGGTATAGTAAAGTTAAATTAGTTAAGAGCCATTTTAATCAAATGTAAGTATTCTTTTAATTTAATAGACAACACCAGCTTTAAGTATGATATGCGAAACTCATTAAAGGGAGATTATAATGCTTAATTTAAGTCAAGTAGAATTTGAGGAAAAAATTCCATTTTTATGTGTCGATTGCATACAAAATTGTTGTGCTGAAAATAAGGCTATTTCTAGTATCATAAATCTAACTGAGGCTAATAAAAAATGGAAAAAGTATTTAGGAGAATAGGATGAAAAGAGATTCTAAAGACAAGCAAGATTTAATTAGGCGATAGGAATTATAAAAAAATTATAAGAGAAGTACAATCAAGAATTATGTAAAATTATTTAATCCTTGAATGATCAAATAACAAAAGAACCATAAGGATATGAAAAACTTTAAAAATTAAAAAATATTTCTTTGTTTTAATAAGAAAAACAAAATCTTCTTTATATAATTGAAATTCTTGGTCAAACAGAAAAGTAGAAAAATTAGGAAAAAAATTAAAATTAAGAGGATTTTAAATTTTATTAAAGCCAAAAGAAATTATTAGAAGAACTGATTAAAGAAAATTTAGTTGTAGAGAATTAATTATAATGGCTTTAGAATTATGATTAATGTATTTTTTTTAATGTTATTTAGAACCCCAAAAATCAAATGATGCTTCCAAAGATAAGATTGAGAATGATTAAGAAGTTATAGATTTTCTTAAAAAGACCACTATTTAAGACTAATATTTATCATTCTTTGAAATTTCATTTAATTCCTTAAAAACTTTTAAACAAGAAGAGTAAGATCTGAAATAAAAGGGAAAGTTAGAAAAATTGTAATAATCTGAGGTTGAAACTTAATCTTAATCCCTTTTGATATTTTAAAAGTGGTATAAATAATTTTAAGATAACTAAGCAAAGTTGGAAAAATTAATGAAGGTTGATGAAATTGAAAAAAAATTAACCTAAATTGAATAAGAAAAATCACAAATATTAATAGAAGATAAAGAGAATAAACAGAAGATATCAGATTTAGAAGTGGAAATATAAGAATAGTACAAATCATTTATATCATCATAAAAAGAATATTAGGATATAGATTAAGCATTAATTAAAAAAAATAACCTTGAAGAATAGATGTCAGAGTTAAAATAAGTGTATTCAATTATAACAACCAGCTGGCAATAAGGAGAGTCAAAATTATTATAATCGGAATTTGCATAAAAAATATTCAAATTTATACAAGAAAAAACTAAAAGGGAAATAAAAAATAAATACTTGATATATTCTTCGGCAGAATCTGGATTAAATAGAAAAACTTTTTGGGATAGTGTTGATAAAAAGTGTAATTTATTGATGATATTTAAATCTACAAGTCAATATATATTTGGTGGATTCTCACCTTGTTAATGGATTTAATCCAGTAGATAATACTAAGCTGATGAATCATTGTCATCATTTTTATTTTCTTAGACTTAAGATTAAATCTACCCTTTATTATCAAGTAATTTTTCATCTGCAATCATGAATGATGATTCTTATATATCATTTGGATATTAAGATATTAAAATCTCTTATGATTTTTAGAATGGATCATCACTTTTAGGAGGTACATACTAATGTAACCAATATAAAATTAACAATTATTAAAATCATTTATTTGGATAAGCTACACCTAATATAAAGGAATGCGAAATTTTAATGATAACATTTAAAAATAAATGAAATCATATTTATACAAACATCAATATTTATAATAGATTATTAAATAATATCTTCAAAAAATATAATATTAATAAAATTTTTTATTTAAAATAATTGAAGAAATGAATTAAGAAAATATAAATTTTGAAAAAATCTGCAAATAATCACCTAAATTTCTAAAAAGATATATAATTGAGAGACAGATTCGGACAAATAACCAGATGAATAATTCTTCGAAAAATAAAAATGATTTTTGAAAAAACATTTAAGATTTCAAATAATAGTGTAAGAAATCTCTTTAAAATCTAATAATAATTAGAGATATCACAGTAAAATTAAATTT